GTGTGTACACACCGTTTGCACTGTTTACTGCCGAGGAATTTGAAAGTTGTATTTACTCTCATCAATAGTGGGCAGCGGGGTGCATTATGGTCATACCTGATGTAACCACTCTGGCACCTTAATTATAACCACTGTAGGAGGTAGCGATTCTGAGATTTGTCCTGTTGGGTTGACCTCCGCTTTGATGTGGTATCGAAGTTTTAGGAAGCAGCACGGCCAGTAACTCAGACACCAGTACAGAACTTTATCAGTAGACCACATGGGTATGGCCATGTAACAAGATTAGCAACAAACAGGATACCACAGAGAGCAGTGTAGCACATATACAGCTATATGAGAACCAGAGGACGACCACACAGAAATGGACCGTGGAAATATCCGGGACACTGAATAGTACTATATACGAAGTAGGAGTAGAGAAAATAGAAGAAGAAGACGCAGTCATGACTCTCGGAGAAGGGAAGAACTGCAATATTTTGTAATTTAGATACAACTAATAAATCCAAAAGATCTGCGTATCTGCTCCACTAGCAAGCAAAAATCGTGTCGAACATTTTTTTTTTCAGGATTACCGTCTGTGTAACATACACACCTGTCGTCCCGATACGGGATGCAATTTTTCATTATTTTAAAGCCCACCTCGGTTTTAGTCAAGGGCCCTAATATAACCTAACGGTTGAACCGGGTTTCTGGGACCTCTCTCTGAGTTATTCCTTATTCGCATGGTGGCACTTTGTGTCACCTGGTGTTTATCGCTTGGTGGATGTCCCAATGGGGGTTGAATCTCATTAATTCATTCTGCGTAACGAGCTAGGGTAGATATGAAGGTCTATGGAATCAATCTTTAATCTCGACTGTATGGAACTAAAGATACCCCCCCCCCCCCCCCCCTCTTTGCGCTCCAACACAAAATAATAATTTAAAAAAAAATCGCGCTTATTATTAGAACATCACAGACAACGTTGGCAAAAAGAAAGGACAGACTGTGGAGGAAATTGAATAGGAGGACTTGAGAAATGGTTTCACGTTATGTTATCAATCTCCCGGCCATTTTATGGCAAAGCGCATAGATGTCCCAGATGTGTTGTGAATCAACGCATTTGCAATGTCGTATCATATATAAGTAGTAAATGAGGTTTATTTAGGTGAATAATCTATGCAGTCATAAAGATGTTATATTTTGATTTAAAACAAAAATTATCACTTCCATTGTTGCCAGAATATACGTGCTAAGTACAATTTGTGTATGTATCATATTTTTAATGTGCTTCTTTTCCCCATCCTGGTTGCTTTCTGATGATTTCACCACCACCGATACTTAATATTTGCATCATTGACGCCAAGCCAAAAGGTCGAAATCCAAGATACCCCGTTCAAACTACTTGTTATAAATAAGTAGGTTGGTGCTTTGCAGTAGAAAAAAATAGTCACGTTCAACCAGCATCTCTGAAGGGGGAGCTTTAGGTTATAATTGTGACTAAGTTATATGCGCCATACAAAATGGACCCTGCACTCTACTACGAGCCCTGATGAAAAGGACTCCTGCAGTGCTGATGCGATCAAAGGAGACAGTCTGAATACTGTCCCAACCGGCGTTGAAGTCGTCTACCGGTGAGCCAATAAGCGACCCGGTCGCTGATGAATACATAAGTGTTATAACTAAACTTTAACCAAGGAACCCGTGCCCCTAGGGCAGTGGCTCCTAACTTTCATAATGCCGCGACCTTTTAATACAGTTCCTCCATGTTGTAGCGATCCACTATTATTTTTGTTTATAACTTCAATGTATATGTGTTTTCTGATGGTCTTAGGTGACCCATGTGAAAGGGTCGTTCGACCGTTCGACGCACACACAAAAAAAGGGTTGCTATCCACTGGTTGAGAACCGCTGCGCTATGGGCTTCATCCAGTTGTGTACCCTGCTGTCTCGAGAAAAGCTAAATAAAATATATTGACTGTTTACTGATTGTGAACATTTGAAATAACACTAAACATATATTAAAAACATATATACTTAGAATAAAGATTAATTTGCAAGATATAAACTTAGCTGTGTGTTTGGTTGGAGAAGACCAAATGAACGATAACCTGGCCTTATCAAAGTGTTGTAAACTTCCGGCGCGTGGTGCCGACGTTTTCTGTTCAAAACAAGGTTGGATTTAGAGCTAATTTTGAACAAGTCAATTTACGGGCTAATTTTTATATTCTTTTTACTTATTACCTTAATACTGTTTTAACAGCCTACCCAATATATTTGTATCCTGGTCCTCTTTAAAATGGAGACTATACATTTCATATAATAATATAATAATAATAGTAAATACATAATACAAAAAGTTTTTTGTTCTTATAATTTTTTAATTTTCCCTTGTAACTTTTTTTTTTTTTTTTTAAATTGGAAAATCAAATTTATTTTTATTCAGTTGAGTTCAGATGAGATTACTCAGGTAAGGTTTAAAATAGTAGTTCAAAGGCAAATGCAAAGTCCAGATCAGACGACGATATGTTTTAGGTCAAGACAAGTGAAGTCTTGATTTAAGATGACACTAACTGAATGTTGACAGTTTTATTTTAAGCCAGTCTCTTCTACTCTCTGTAGATCAAACTTACTTGTTATGTTAACAACCAGAAAACAGAAAAACTACTTCAGACAAACCCCTTCATCAACCTATCTTAATTAAACTATCTATGCATGTATCTGTGCTATTTCGTAGTTATAATTATGATATTAATGATGCTTGCTCTTAAAATTCATCTCAGACATAAAGTAAACTGATAGTGAACTTGAGAATGAGTGAACATTTAAAAAAAAAAAGATAATATACTAATTATAGAGCCATTCACGAATTCATCCTGTTTGCATTTAAAAAAAAATAAAAAAAAGTGTTTTAACAGGAAACTACTACTACTTCACATTTACTTTACTTTACTTTTTACTTTTTCCTTCCACGTATGCCGCTAAGCGTTGTGGGGAGATGCAAGTTCCTGTCATAAGCAAGGCGGGCAGCATCTGATGTTCTGAGGCCATGCTTTTGGCAGGTTTCGGAGACCCCGTCAATCCACCGTTTCCTTGGTCTTCCTCTTGCCTTATATCCTGAGCTTCTTTGGTTGAAAATTTGTGATGTTATTTGATCATTTTTCATCCTGGTTAGATGTCCAAACCATTTCATTCTTTGATGTTCTATGTAGTCTAAACATGGCGTAGTTTTGACAGTGTTTCTGATGTCTATATTCTTTATCCTGTCTAGTCTGGTCTTATTCGCTGCTTTTCTTAGACATTTCATTTCACAGGCTTCTATTTTTCTTTCATGGGTCTTGTTGATTGTCCATGTTTGGCACTGGTAGCAGAGTGTTGGAATGAAGATGGTGTTTATCAATTGTCTTTTGGTCTTGATGGGTATATCTGGATGTTTAAGCAGAGGTGATAGTTTACTTCACATTTACCAGCTGTAAAGTTCTGGTTGTTCATCCACTTCTGATTCTGGACTGTAGTCTTGCTCCAGAATCTGAGTGTTGTATGCACATCCCTTCTACATCTGACTCATTTGTATGCCTTGTCTTTTGGGCAGATTCACTCTGACTTTGAAGGAGGCTCCCAGTTTGTTGACTCTTATGACATCCTTTTTGGTAGACAGTGGGTCTATTCTTATTGTCCTTGCAATAGGGCACTGGAACCCACACAGGGACAACAGGCAACTAACAACAATAATACCTCTTTGCTGGGAACAATATTTTGTTAATTTTAATTAAGTTTTCTTCTTCTTCGTGTTAAGCGGCTGTTGTTAACTCTGGCGAAAGTTAATAGTTGCTTATCTACTTCTGGATTTTATCTTGTTGAATAACATGCATTTTACATGCACATCTGTTTTATAGATCTAGCTTTTTTGTATGTAGACTGTTAGTTACTGACCTCTCAGGCAGACGCACCCTGACCTTGAAGGGAAAGTCTCTAGCTAAACTCTTATGAAATGTTTTATGGGGACAGTGGGTCAATCCCCCCCCCACACATGAAGCCCCAGAACCTACATGGAGAAGTAGTTAAGTGTTCTACTTAAACACGTTCGTGTTAGCAAGGTTTTACTGTATAATCAGATTGTACCTGGCACAATTGTTATTAGAACTCTTCCCTGGCCAGTGCCCTTCCTCATTATCTTTCCTTCAGCAAAGGAAAATAAAAGGATGAAAGTTACCTTGAAGCTATTTTTATAAGGCTAGGTAGAGTCATAATTGTCAGAAAAAAATAATCTTTGGAATTGATGTTCCATTGTCTTGGCAGACAGGGGTACTAACCATTATGGTACCTTAGCACCACATATGTTGAGTTGAATCAAGAACTGACATCACAGCACTTGGGACATTTCTCACCGAGCTTTATCGCCATTTTCAGCAGTCAGCTCAGAGTTATAATTTAAATGGTGACTGACTGACGTTCAGTCCAACCGGGACCACACAACGAGCGATAAACAACTGGTGACAGAAGGTGCCACCATTCGGATGTCAATCGCCCGGGCGCAAGTCCCAGAAACCCTGTTCAGCCGATAAGTTATATTTAGGACCTCCAACGAAAGCCAGGGTAGGGCTTTAAAATAAACAGTTGTGTCCCTTATCTGGGAGGATAACTAGATTACAGTTAATTCTGATGATACCAGTAGCAGCCTAATTATATATCAGATTCTCTTTGTGATGTTCTGAGGCCCAGTTATGGAAAAAAAAGACCCACTGCCTGCCAAAAAGCACGTTGTAAGAGTTGACTTTTTGGGAGCTTTTTTCAGAGTCAGAAGAAGATATATCAGCCAGAATGCTGCTGAAGAGTATGTATCTTCATATATGATAGTATAGTACATATGCATGTTGATATTGTTTGATTTTCTTATGTATCATCTTTGTCATATTTTCACACCGTTTTTTTTACTGTCCACTAAGTATATGTTAAATGCAATTATTTTGTTGTTCAGTCTTCAGATTTGTAGATACTGTCATTGACAGTCACATTCATTGATATGGAAACTGTAAAGGAAGAGCCTATAGAATCAAAGCCTATAGAATCAAAGCCTTTGAAATCTGTGGGCAAAAAATCATCTGCCATTACAGTAGAACAGATTCAAGAGGATCGAATTACAGAGGTTAGTTTACATGGAAATAAATTCACTCTTAATTTGATTTTTTAAAAAAAGGATCATTAAATAGTTACACAGATACAATACTTAATGACTTTACTTCAGAGGTTTTAAACCTTTTTTTTCCAGGTGGTAGCACCCTCAGATATATGGCAAGACCATGCCCCCTTCCCCCTCCACTCCCCCCACAACAATGTTTAATTAGGTCCTGTGTATTCTGTTAATTAATTAATGCCCTCAGAGAAATGGGAAGGATAGAGGACTTTAGGGACAGTGAATCCACATCACTCACCAGAATGGCATACTTGGGGGAATGTAAGATCAGCAGAGCAAAAAGAGAGAAGCTCACCAGATGACTTATTAATGAACATAGAACTGGTACTATTAGCCATCGGACATTGGGGTTCATACTGGGGGGAGGATCTGAGCACCTATAGACATGTCCGGAGTGCAATGATGATAACCCAACTAACTAACTAACTAATCTTTTAATTAATTGAAATGGCTGGGGCCTATTGAAAAACTGTCAAATGACATAGAGGTAATAACTGTATACACAAGGGAGCTGAATGGTCATAGACTATTAGGCTGACCAAGGAGATGATAGAGAGATTATATTCAGGCACACCTACAAACACTTAGTATCACCAACCGGAAAGAGAAGGTCAGCCAGAAAGATGAACGGAGGCGGTGATATCTGCAGCAGTGAACCTCAAGGGCTCGGAATGCTGAAGAGAAGAAGTATGCTATTAATTAAAATTTTAATGGTAGATGTACAAACTGCTTATGGAAACAAAAACATCCTTGGATTTGTGATTTATAGTTTAAAAAAATATATTTTATGTGTAATTCAGCTGAAAAAGGAACGTTAGTTTAACAGTTTATTACAAGTAAAATTGCACTAAATTTCAAAATCGCTCGATGCCCCCATGAAACTTCCTTGCATCTCCCAGATTTAAAACCACTGCTCTAGTATGTTCACACTCAGTTTGTGAACACTGTAAAATAGTTTATTAGTATATGATTTGGTGTTGATTAGTCGCCATCATTATGTGACATGCTGATCCCCAGTGGTATTCAGGCCTTCTTCTGCATTAGCCCTTGAAAGGGTGGTTGGGACATAGTATGTTGTGGTTTACAGCCAGGCTGCAGCATTGTGCCTTTTGGCCCAAAACATTCAGTTTAACTCTTTTAGCACCAGAGGATAATTAAATTAGATATAAATCAAGGCCTGATACGCTCCTTGGTATCAACAGAGTTAAACAGGCTCCTAAATAGTCCATCTTTTATGACATATTTGATAAAGGGCAGTGAGTATGTTCCTTTTCTCTGAGGCTCTGAAACCGAGAGAAGAGAGAGGTGGGTGTTCTTCAGAGTCCAGAAAATATCTTGCATCTATTGAGGAAAGGTCATTCTAGATTTTACTCAGTCTGGTACCAGAATAATTTACCCAGAGGTTAAGGTATAGCAGAGCTCTCCTTCCCTTCTTGAATGAATGTCAGAAACTAACAGTGGGTGCAAGACTGGTAGTGGAGCATCACTTATGTGGAGAAGATAATAAGATGTAACCAGATCATGGTTCAGCATAACGTAATAGACTGGGTGGGTTAAGCCAGGTTATGGTTCAACATAGCATGTAGACTGGATGGATTAAGCCAGGTTATGGTTCAAGAGACACATACTTACATACTGGCTGGGTTAACTCTTTGAGTCCCAAGGAACGCTTCATAGGTTTATAGGTTCCTACCTAGAGACCCAGTAAACGCAAGATGCGCCCATTTTACATCTCTTTTTACTACCCCTTGGGCCTCTCATGCTAAACTCCCTGGGACTCAAAGAGTTAAGCCAGGTTATAGTTTAGCAGAGCACACATACACACATATATATATATATATATATATATATATATATATATATATATATATATATATATATATATATATATATATATATATATATATATATATATATATATATATATATATATATACATGCACACACATATATACTGGGTAGGTTAAGCCAGGTTATGATTCAACATAGCTCCCTGTATAGGTTCTGGGGCCCATTATGAAAAAAAAATAGACCCACTGCCTTCCTAACAAGCATGTAATTTTAGTCAACTAATTTAGGACTTCAGTCTGAATGCATCTGCCCGAGTGGCAACAAACAACCAGCTTCACACAGATAAACCAGTAAAACAGAAGTACATGCAAAACTCAGACCCTGGGCCAAAGTCCAAATGGACTAACATCCAGGACTGTACACCAGAGCTTACAGCTGGTGAGCAAAGAAGAAGAAGATTCAGCATAGCATGGGTCTGATCAGGTTATGGTTCAACATAGCATGGGTCAGATCAAGTTATGGTTCAACGTAGCATGGGTCAGATCAGGTTATGGTTCAACATAGCATGGGTCAGATCAGGTTATGGTTCAACATAGCATGGGTCAGATCAGGTTATGGTTCAACATAGCATGGGTCATATCAGGTTATGGTTCAGCATAGCATGGGTCAGATCAGGTTATGGTTCAACATAGCATGGGTCAGATCAGGTTATGGTTCAACATAGCATGGGTCAGATCAGGTTATGGTTCAACATAGCATGGGTCAGATCAGGTTATGGTTCAACATAGCATGGGTCAGATCAGGTTATGGGTCAGATCAGGTTATGGTTCAACATCGCATGGGTCAGATCAGGTTATGGTTCAACATAGCATTTATATTTACACACGTGCTTCTGGGGCTTCATTGTGGAGAAAACAAGAATAGACCCACATCCTGCTCAAAAGCATGTCATAATAGTCGACTAATTGGGAGCAGGACTACAGTCCAGAAGTGGATAAACAGCCAGTGAATACGAAGAAGAAGATTTACACGAACACACATACTGGGTGGGTTAAACCACTTTATGATTCAACATATGAGAGATCAAGCCAGGTTATGGTTTAGCATAGCACACACACGGATGCACTCACACATACATACTGGGTGGGTTAAGCCAGGTTGTGATTGAACATATCAGCAGTCTAGCCAGGTTATGGTTCAACATAGCACACATACACAGATACACACACACACATACATACTGGGTGTGTTAAACCAGGTTGTGATTGAACATATCAGCAGTCTAACCAGGTTATGGTTCAACATAGCACACACACACACACACAGATGCACACACACACTTACATACTGGGTGCATTAAACCAGGTTGTGATTGAACATATTAGCAATCAAGCCAGGTTATGATTGAACATAGCACACACACACGGATGCACACACACACATACATACTGGGTGGGTTAAGCCAGGCTATAATTGAACATATCAACAATCAAGCCAGGTTATGGTTCAACATAGCATGTACAGACTGGGTTAAACCTTAGGCTGGTAATGTTTCCTCCACAGGTTTTAGGTTTTTCATTGTCAGCAGACTCCAACCCATTGCAAGAGAGAAAAGTACAAATAATATGTAGTGAGTTCCCTGTTTGGGTTCTGGAACCCCATTCTAAAGGAGGGAAAGAAGAGTAGACTCACTGCTCCTTAACAAGCATCTTGTAGAAAAGGACCAATTAAGAGTTTGCTGAAATGGAGTGTGTTGAAAAGTACAGATGTTACAGCCTAGCTGTAACCCACAATACAATGTACCAACGGCCATTTTAAATCTTTCAGTCCCAAACAACTCACCACACTTTTCTGTATCACTTAAAGGGTTATATAATTTGCCGGCTGTCTTCTGTCACAGAAGGATGTTGAATCATTCCTTTCTGTCTATGTTACTAGTTTCACTTCTTATGTCTCTCCCAGCCTACCTCAGCATGTGTCTTCCTCTCTCTTCATGTCTCTCTCTCTCTCCCCTAACCCTCTCAGGTACCAGGTCCAGAACAGACAGGACTTCAGTTTGCTGCCCTCTACCACCAAGCCCTAAAAAAAATTTCAAACACTATATCAAGCTCAGGGGCCGACCAACACGAAGATGGGCACAGGATATAAGTGACTCCTTGAGTATAAAAAAGTACATGAGGCGGGAGAGCTGGCGAGAGACCGAGGTTTTTTTGTCAGGACAAAGGAAATGCTACAAGATGATGATATCTGTGCTGGTATACCAACACATGTGGCACAAATGTAGTACCTTGTGTGCTCAGCACACCCTTGAACAAGGCAAAAATCTTTTTTCAGTATTACACCGAGACAACCTTGAAGAAAACTAAGGAGACCTTGAAAAGCCTTGAAATTGATTGGTAAATTTGGCAATAAACCCTGCCCATAGCTTCTATGTTGAATTCTCTATGGCCAAAGTATTTATTACTTTTAAGCTAAGAACTCTGTGATAGAATGAGTAATAATTGCTTGGGATTGAAAGGGTTAAGTAAGTAAATTTTACCCCACCAGGACATCACACAAAGCGATAAACACTCTGTGACACAAAGTGCCACTATGCAGATGAGGATCACCCATGGAGAGGTCCCGAAAATCCCATTCTATCGTAAGGCTATATTGCGGCCCCTAGCAAGAGCCAGTGTGGGGCTTTAAAATAACGAAAAATTGCATCCCACAAGGGGGATGACAAAGATTATAATTGAAAGGGTCGAGAATAAACAAAGAAGAAGAAAATATATTATGAAGTATTTTTGTTGTGGTTTAAAATTTTGGCCGTAAAAAATCACTCCTGGTACCAAAATGATCACTCTTGTGCAGTTTTTATTTTGAATTAAATTGATTTGCTGCAAATAGCACCTGTAGTTGATTGTGAACTTAGTAAACTAATAATGCGGTCATCCATACAGCTAGCCTTCAAGAACTGGAGCCCAGAGGCTAGAAAAAACAATGTTCCATTCAAGCCACAGGTGAGGTTATCTGTATATGCATTTATTAACAACATAACAAGTTAATCTTCTACAAATTGTAACGTATAAGGTGTCCTAAAATGTATAGACATTCAATAGAAATACATGTTTTTTTAAATATATATTTAAGGTTTATGATCACAGTTTAAAAAGGGAAGTTTAATTATTTTAATGCTACTGTATACTTTAACAAGCCAACAATGTCGCATACCAGCTTGCCCCAATTTTAAAACACCCTGCTGTCCCAGCTGAGATAAAAAGACAAATTATAAATACAATCTTTATACCGACATTAGGTTATCAATGTCAGACTTGGACATTAACAAAAGAACATGAGAGAAGACTAACCACATGTGAAATGAGATGTTTGAGAATGGCTGCAAATAAAACCAGAAGAGATCGAGTGAGAAACGATGTGATTACAAGAACTATTGGAACCATACCCATCGTTAAATTTATTGAGAAGCAAAGAATGAAATGGTTTGGTCACCTAATGAGAATGGAACCAACGATGCCAGCATCAAGAGCATACAACATGAAAATCGAAACAACAAGAGGCAGGGAAAGACCAAGAAGAATATGGATTGAAGGAGTCACGGACAACTTGAGACTTCATAACATCACGGCATATGAAGCGACTGAGCGCGCCCTGGCTCGGTTGCCGATCATCTGATAGACTGCGACGCCTAGCGGCACAAGCAGATTTTGACACAAGAAGAAGTATACTTTTGTATTTTTGTAACTGATGAGCGTTCTGTTTTGGGCACTGTTGATTACACAGTGAGCATACTAATGGTCCATTTTGCTCATTGTCGGAAGTGAAGAATAGGAACACTGCACATTAGGCACGTCTTGAGAGGCGACTAAGGGAAGGGTTGGAGTTAGTTTCTTCCTGCCATGAAAACAGTAGCCACAGAAATCAGCAAACTGTGGAATGTAGAAGGGAGCTAGAGTGAAGTTAAAAAGATAGGGAGGGCATGAGGTGAACTACATGCAATAGTAAAGGATAGGGAGGGCATGAGGGGAACTACATGCAATAGTAAAGGATAGGGAGGGCATGAGGTGAACTACATGCAATAGTAAAGGATAGGGAGGGCATGAGGTGAACTACATGTAAAGGATAGGACGACTTGGCGTGAGTTGGTTGAGGGCTTCTTTGGGGGATAATAGAAAGAAGAAAATGAAAGGTCCACTGCCAATTTGTTGTATTTTCATTCACCATTTATCTCCAGCAGCAAACAGCGGGGAATGGAGAGTTAGAAGCAACAACAAAATTCCAAATCTGTTTAAATTACCATTGATCACTGGCATCATGAGATCTAATAGACTGAAATGAAATGGCTTGGGCATATTGAGAGAATGTCAAATAACAGAAAGATAAAAACTGTGTACACAAGGAAGCTGAATGTTCGTAGACCACTAGGCAGGCCAAGAAGACAATGGAGAGATAATGTCTAGACAGACCTGCAAACACTTGGTGTCATCAATTGGAATGAGAAGGCCAGTCAGAGAGATGAGTGGAGGCGGGTGACATCTGCAGCAATGAACCTCAAGGGCTCGCAATCCCGAAGAAGAAAATTATTTCGTTTCCACTGTTGACCTTTACACTGGTAAAACCTGACCTCTTCTTCCAGAAACTGAGCCGTGCATTATTATCATTTCTCAATCTGTTTGGTTTGTGGGGCCCTGTTCATGGGGGCAGGGAGTCGCCCCATTGCCGCACTACATTCTGCTCAGAAATAAGCCAGATCTGGAAAAAACTAATCTGCATGCAAGACTCAAGTTCTGAAATAAGACCACAGTGGATAAACAGCCAGAACTTTCTGACAGGATTCACAGCTGGTGAACGCGAAGAAGAAGAAGAATCACTGTGCGATTGTTGCTGGTTTGTCAGTTTCAAAGAGGTACTGCTGCTTATAGGCCAGATTTTTCAGTGCTTGGTTCTTGTAGTGTTTTATTCCTTTTTAAAACAAAAAAGATCCGTGGTATTCTAAAAACATTCTAAAGCATCTGAGTTTAAAAGACTAATAAGTTTTGATTTAAGTAATATGTAAATTAAGATTATAATGATTGCTATGAAATATTTGCAAGAAATAAGTTAGAAAGATGAAAGGAGCAATAAGTATATTGTTATATTATTTAATTCTGAAACATTTGAAGATAAATTTGTCTTTGCATTTCCTCTTCCCTCAATTACAACACTGGTATTGGTAGGGCACTATCATAAATGTGGATTAACATTGGTAGAATCTCTTAAGCAGTCATCGAAATCACAGTGCGAGTTCTAGAGTCCCATTTTGGAGGGAAAGAGGGTTTGGATTCACTGCCCATTTAACAAGCCTTTCATAAAGGCAGCTAATTTGGACTGAAATTGGATGTGGTGAGCTGCAGATGTCACAGCCTGGCTGTAAACCACAACACAGCATGCCAACTGCCCTTTTAAAGGCAAAGGCAGAAGAAGAACTGCATGGTTAGTTGTATAACACCTTCTTAAGTAGTTGTTACAGGAACTCTTGTGCAGGAGAAATGTAAATGCCACTTGTAACTGTAAAGTGTTGCACATTGTTGTAGCTCAGCCTGAGCACACAAAAAAAGAACTAAATAAGGAACATTGTGGATATCTGTGTCACTATAGAATATTGAACATATGCTGCAGGCATGCTGTCATCATGCAGTAGTGAGATCTCAGGTTTGGCCGCTTGGCATTCAGATGGAAACTAAACTGTATAGAACAGTGGAAAATGTGCGTCATACCACAGACTTTATAGAGGCCTATAACCTTCTCATGTGAAAAACAACTGGTCTGCAGAATAAAAAGAAGAAGTAGAGGATGGGTGGTTGTTGAATGCCAGTGGATAGTTAATTGTTTTAAGGTTTTAAATAATGGATCAACATCATGGCACAAGGGTAGTAACCCATGAGTGCTCCGTTTTACTTCTAACTCAAGCCTGTGTCCAAAGAATCTCAGTGCATTGCACAAACTCCCGAGCACCGGCGAGGATCCTGCAATACTTTAGGTAGATTTTCAACTACAAAATTTGCAAAACACACAGGGATCTGATCTTATTATCCAGAGTCCACATGAAAAAATCCCAGCCTTCACCGGGGCCTGAACCTGGAGCCTTCAGCACTCGAGGCTGGCATCATGCCTCACGACCACTCAGCCCTCCAGGTGGATAGTTTGAAAACAGTTACTAAATGTTCACATGTTTAAATGGGATAGTCAGGGACATATTGTTTGATTTCCACTGGCACAAGATCGGAGTAGTTATGGGGTAACCGGTTTACAATGTTGTTGGAACCTCGAACGATGACTAACATAACCCGTCTACAGTGCTGTTTGAATCTCAAACGATGACTAACATAATTTATCTACAGTGATGTTGGAACCTCATACAATGACTAAAGTAACCCATCTACAGTGATGTTGGAACCTCATACGATGACTAATGACTCATATGTGTATATGTTCTGAAATAAGTTTTGTATTGTATAATTAAAAAAAAAACATTTTCTAATCTGATAATTTCTGTAAACAACAGATTGTGGAAGAGATCTATCAGAAGGAGCTAGCTGGTTCCAAGTAAGTAGAACCTGATGCTAAATGTACTGAAGTGATTGATTGTGTCACCACCTGCCATGCATGTCATTAAGGAGGGTTGGTATGGCAGTGGCTTCATCATCCTCTAGAAACTTTCTTTTAGCTGCAAAATCTGACCAGTTATGGCAAGATCAGCCAATGGTTGTTGGTGGGGACAATACTGCAGTGAGAGATAACAGTCAAAAGAAAAATATTGTTTTACATGATCAGTGGTTCGAGTTCGATACTCAGAAATGACAGGATGATTTTTTGGGTCACCAGTAGGGGTGAGTAAACTCATAAACTGGATAACGTATAATTTTCAAAGAATTGAGTGAGGAAAGGGTGTGAGCAAGTAAACTCCTCACCCCACAGACCATGGCCTATAGTATATGTGAAGACCTGAAACTTGATAAGAATAATATCAAAAAAACACATTATTGCCTGTACACTTTTTGTTGTGTAAGGGTCAGGTAGGTGTTTTTAAAAAGGTAAATTAATGCGATTATTATGGAGCAATCATAAAATGTGAAAACTTGTTAGGAAAAGACCAAGAGGAAGACAAAGATATAAATACTAGAATGGTGTGGCCATATGTCATATTCGTGAAAGACCTAATCCAAGTTTAGTGATGACAAATCATGAATACCTGTGTCTGTCATGATGTTCCTGGATAGGTCATGTGGGCAGGAAGCAGTGCACCCCCCCCCCCTCCCTCCCCACATTTAAATGTTTATTTACATCTTCAAATCCGTGTATAGTTGTATTAGTGTTTGCTTACCAAATGAGGCATATACCAACAGAGGAGAGGGGTGTAGAGCAGGGGAAGACCAACAACAAGATGGAAAGATAACATTAGAGAAGCGCTACAGTACAAAGTGTCTGTGGTCATGGCAGCCAAAAGAACAAGAACCAGAACTTTATGTCACCTTAGCTTTAAGAAACCGTTTTTAGAAAAAGCAATGAAGAAGAAGAAGTGTTTGTTTGCTATAGCAGCAGAATCTCCTCTTTCATTTATGACAGTGTTTACTGTAGGATCAGATTTTTAAAAATATATTTTATGGACTGACAGTTAATTAGCTGAGAATTATATGAAAGCTGCAGAGACTTATATTAGAATGATATGAACATCATGGACGGATACAAATAAAGTGAAGATGTCTTGAAAGAAATGAACTTTTCCGTATCAGATCAACGTTATTTTGGCATGTCCCAAGAAGGAGAAATTTGGAGTATATTGTGACAGTGGGAAAGTTGGGGGGAAACTGAGGCAGAGGGAGACCCAGAGAGAGGATGTTGGACAGTTTTGTCGTCATGGCCTGAAAGAAGATCTGTGTCAAGTTACATATAGGATAGAAGGCATGATTATCAGTGTCACATGGCGTGGGCTATAAAAGGAGGGATATTTTTTAATAAGACCTGAAACTGGAGCCTTATATGTTATTATTTTGATAAACACCATTGTCTCACACACACACACATATGCCCCCCCCCATATAAATATATATATATGTGTATATATATGTGTATATATATGTATATATATGTGTATATATTTGTATATATATGTGTATATATGTGTATATATGTGTGTGTATATATATATATATATATATATATATATATATATATATATATATATATATATATATATATATATATATATATATATATAAATTTCAGCTTTTCTACAAAACGAATCATGATGCTGGAGTTTAGCCGCTATCTGGAAAACTACTTGTGGCCGAACTATAAAAGAGGAAAGGTAACAACATAGATTTTTTTTTTTTTTTTTAACCTTACACATGCTCTGTATTATGTGTGCATTCATTTTTTTTTTATTAAACATGGTAAGAAAACCAATTCTTTTGGATACAGTAATATTGACAACTGATGAGTTGTACACTTCCATTAGAAAGACATACATGAAGTGGCTTGATCATCAAACCAAAATGTCCTGGTACCAACTGCCACAGAGAGACATGTTGAAGAAGCACATTGAACACAGAGCAAGGGGAAAACCATGAAAAAGAACTTAGAAAAACTATGGCATCAAGAACTAACTTAGAAAAATAAAGACAAACTTACACCGCTTAATAGATTGTGCATCTCCCTTCAACATTTTGTTTTTATGTATCACCAGTTAATTTGCAGATATTTTCTTCCCTTCTCCCAGCCAGGTACCAACATAACATCTCTGCCAGTACTGTTGTAGATCTTTCCTTCCCTTCTCCCAACCAGGTGCCAACATAACATCTCTGCCGGTACTGTTGTAGATCTTTCCTTCCCTTCTCCCAACCAGGTGCCAACATAACATCTCTGCCAGTACTGTTTTAGATCTTTCCTTCCCTTCTCCCAGCCAGGCACCAGAGTAACATCTCCACCAGTACTTTTGCAGATGTTTCCCTCCCTTCTTGTTGACCCCCAGATGTCTGATGTCTGCATATATATGACCTCGCCACCATCCAGCATAAGGTATATGTGTTCACAAATTATATTCACTAACTATATTTGTTTGGTTATTGTTACCTAGGCAACAACAGCCCATGTCATGTCCATTGCTGCCCTGGTCAATGAAAAGTTTCAAGAACGTGTCCCTGCCTGGGAGGTGAGCTACTTTCTTTTGTGCATGCCATAGATTTTGTCACGGTTTTGAAATACAATTTTGTAATGAACAAAGCATATGTCATCTCAGAGTAAACTTTGCAAAGCAGAATTTTGGATAACATTTCTTTTACTGTTTATGTGAGATTTGGTTTTTCTTTGTAGATCAGCCATGTTCAACCTAATATTTCAAGGTTGTAATAAGGGTGTTTGATGTGGTAACTTCCTTGTCTGTTTTGCTTGAAGTTGACTCATCTTGCATTTGCTGGGTTCTCTTTTGTCTGGTTTCTAGAGGTGGGGTCTCAGTAACTAGACTGCTCTGTTTTCTCTGCTTTCATCACTTTCCTGGTAGTTTCTTGCTGGCCTGGCCCTGAGAGGGACTAATCCTGATAAGGACTTTGTCACATCTAAGATATTTGATTCCATTTTTATAGTCTGTACTGCATTTCAACACTGCCTTATGGGTTCTGGATAAGGAGAAAAAGAATAAGCCCACTACTCCCTAACAAACAAAGTAAAAGTTGATGAATTAGGACTTTGCTGAATAAGATGCGTTAAGCTGAAAAATGGAAATATCAGCCTAACTGAAAACTCAGAGAGAAGGTGCTGGACAGTTTGACTTTATGGCATGGAAGATCATCTATGTGAGAACTGATTGAAAGTTACGTGAGAACAACACTGACATTCTACAATCAACTCAAGGCAGTGACTATAGAGGAGAAGAAGCTGTAAGCCACAACACAATGTGCCAACCAAACTTTTTAAGGGCAAACGCCGGAGAAGAAGAAGAAGAAACATTGCCGCACTGCATTAGACTTAACGTATGTTCACAGCCTTCTGTCTTGTGTGCTTTCAATCATTTCAGAAACTGATGTTCCTTCAAGTCATTATGCTAAAATCTAATATCTTCTCTCTTTGTCTCTCCATGCTTCTCTTCCCCACCAACTTGAAATACTAAATTTTCCTTTTTTAATGACTTGTTCCCCAAAAAATGTAGAATGTCTCCTCCTTTTCTTTTTCTTAGCATTCATATTGGTGACCGGGTCGTTTATTGGCTTGCCGTAGACGACTTCATTGCCGGTCGGTACAGTTATTTGGGTCTGTTTCCTTTGATCATACCAGCACTGTAGGAGTCCTTTTCAGGACTCTTGGTGGTGTGCAGTGCTAAGCCATTTCCTATGGCGCACATAACCTAGTTACAATTATAAACAAAAGCTCCCCCTTCGAGGATGGTGGTTGAACGTTATGATTTTTTCTTTCAGCCAAGCGCCTGCCTATCCACCTTCTTAGCATTCACAAGCTATTAATTACTGTGAAAGGTTCTGGTGGTTCCGTCCACTTCTGGACTTGTCTTGTTCCAGATCTTGAAGTTTGCACGCACATTCGTTTTACAGATCTGTCTTACTTGTATGCAGACTGTTGATTCCTTGCCACTCAGGCAAATGTGCCCTGAGGTAAAATCTCTAATTAGCTGTCTTTTACAACCTGCATGTTATCGAGGTAGTAGGTCATTCTTTCTCCTCAAAGTAGAGTCCCGGAACCCACATGGGATGCCTCCTGCTTATGTGGGTAATAAGTCCTCTTTGTGATTTAAGTTTCTTGAGACATCTTTGTTATACTTTTTATAATTTTTCTATAAAACCACATGTTTACAACTTTCTGACTAATCTGTGACTGTCCATGATGCACTTCTATGATACATTTTTTATGATTTCTTTAATTTACGTTTGTTTTATTATTTACAGTTCTGGATCATACGAAAATCTTAGTTAAACAAGTTGACTAGATGGCTAGACGTACATTACGTGAATATAAAGTGTGTTTATTAGTTTCTTCGTTTGTGATAATTTGATGCATTGAAACTTGATGCTGGTATTTTTGTTTTGTTTTCAGGGTTTCAAATCTCTCCCAGATGAATTCCCTTATCTTTTCAAACAAGTCCTTGACCTTTGCCTAAGTTCATCGACTGTGACCTACAAAGAAACAACAGTTTTGCTGATCTTTTTGATACATTGTTTCAACAGTTTGGTAAGTTTGCACTAATACTTTCACTGAAAGAGAATCAGCTAGGCAGTCGTCACAAATCTATCACTGTAGATAACCACCATTTTTTTCTTAAGCTATATATTGCTGTCAGTTGTTAAGTTTTAGTGATTATCTTTTCACTTAATTTTTTTGTTTTGTTTTGAATTGACTTGAGAAGCGCACTAAGTTTGTCATGTTTGAAACATCCAGTCGTGTTGATGGTTTGGCACCCTTCCAACTTTCCAGATAATAGTGTTCTGTCATGCTGGAGGAGGCAAGAGAGTCATAGCCACTAGTGATACCAGATGAGGTTAGGCAGGAAGTTCCTCCTGTCCATAGTTCAAAGTCTTGCCAGTATTGTAGAGATAATGCGTTGGCCATGCATCGTGAACCATCTCTCGGCTTGCTTCGTCAAGCTCTAAAGGAAAGATAACGTCAGTAAATCTAGCACAAAGCATGCGGCAGAAGCTGCCAGTCAGAAGAGCAGTGATCTTTCTGTCTGCATGTCAGAGCTGCCCCCCCCCCCCCCCCCCCAACTGACCAGCTGCCAAGGCTAAAGGCCTAATCATCTAACATGCCAGTAAATATTGGTTCTTTTCACATAATTCTGTTTATGCTCTTGTTTTTAATTATTCCATTTGACTAAGCCATTTAAATATTTAACCTTTTTGACATACTCTTGCTTTTTTTCCCCAGCAGGATTGTCAGTTGTCACCAACTTTCCGAGTTTTTGTCCTATTGCATGCCTATTATCTGTAAAAAGAAGACACAAACAATAGATTGCACAATTTATTGCCTGGCAAATTTTGCTGTATCTTGTCAGGTGCATGCTGTAGTAACAGTTACATAAAGCAAATAAGTGAATCCTTTATAACTGAAGTACAAATTCAACAACAGTCAAACTGTAAAGCTATGTCTGGGACCTCTGTATTAAAAAAAATAATAATATATGTGAGTGTTTGTTTATTACTCTGTCAGTCAATCAGCATGTCCTTTATAGAACATCACTCTCATCACTGCATGCCCGAAAGTCTCGTTCTCTAGCCGATTCTCCAGACCTGTGTACCAGTGTTGCCACTTTTCTTTGACAAAAAACATCCAAAACGGAGTCAAAAATGTCTACAAACATCTAAATTTGCGTAGAAAACATCTAGAAAAATATCCAAATTAAAAGAGTCACAAATTACATAGCAGTTGAAATGACTTACCCAATAGAATCATGACCCCATCTTTACTGAAGTCTTCCTTACAAGATCCACAGGATAAACTTAGATTGGATGATGAAGGTGGAGCTTCAGATCCAAAATGACTCTGGTATGCTTTAGCTATTCCAATTTCTTTCAATACCTAATCAGGGAGCTGATAAGTGGAACAGCCTTTTCTCACTTTTATCAGGCCGAATTTTATTGTCAAGATAGCATTTAAGAGGTCAAATTTCATCCTGTTTCTTAGGTTAGATTTGATAAATTCACTCCCAGTGAAATTATCTAGAAAAACATCTACCATCTAAATGTCAATTTTTTTCTTATCTCTAGGAAGTAGAGCTAATAAGAGAAAGAGTGCAAAGACTGGTCTCACTTCCTATTTGGACAAACCTGCTACTTGTAAGTATAGTTTATATAGAATGGTATATTTATAAAATGGCTAGTTACAGAGTCTGTTAAATATCACAAACCGATTAGAACATCAACACTGATTATGACCATAAGAAAAATTTCTTCAAACACTGGAATACAACAGACAAAATCCCCATCATTGATTTACTCACTGGACATTGCAGACTTAAAAAAAAAACCTGCATTAGTCAGACAGCACTCTGCTAGGATATTCAAGCTTAGCAGACTCCAAAACATGTCCTGCAAGACTGCACTATTAAAGAGAAACTAAAACAACTTGTGGCCACACCCAGTAGACATGCCAGCTAAGCTTTGAGAAAACCTGAAAGACCTCGAGCTGAAATCCCAGTTTAGGGAACATGGTGGGTTAAGTGCATGACCAGAGATCACCAAAGATGAAAATGAAGAAGTGTGTGTGCTGAGTGTTTCTTTGAGCATGATCTGGTGGGTCAAGGCAGGCTGGTTGCACAGACAGTGGCTTGAGTCATTGGAAAACTCCTGTGTGTGCAGTTACCCTCATATTCGTCCCAGGGTATGAATGTGTTGTTGGTAATGAAAGAGCTGATAGACTGGCAGGTGCTACATTAATTGAAGATGGCTGGCCCTTGGATCACGCAGACATTGTCATTTCCCTTAGAGAGATAGGGCGTTTTGAGGATTTTGGAGGCAACGTGTCCACATCACTGCTAAGAATACGAGAATTGGGAGTAAAGATTGGCACAGCCAAGCATGAGAGGTATACCAGATGCACACAAAGTCTTGTTAACCAACATAGGGCTGGCACCATCAACTGTGCGACGCTGATAAAGATGTTGAGAGAGGAATCTGAGCACCTATGGATGTTTCCGGAGTGCTGTGAAGATAATCTAACTCATAACTTGAAGAAGTCTATCCCTTCTTCCCCCCCCCCCCCCCCCCTTCCCCCATTTGGTTACAGTGGTTACTGGGTGACCAGGTTTCAGAGTCAAGTAAACGGGTATAGACACCAGCCAGTTGATTCTATTCTGTATTCAAAGTCTCTGTTTTTATTTTTTCATGACACTTGTAAAATGGTAAAGAAGTAGTACGAAAGTCACACTGTTGGACAGCTAAAAATAATCCTCTGGCATATTGTGTAATTCCATCAACATTGTTTTCTACAACGCAATAAAAAAGAGAGACTCCAAATTGTCGCAAGAAGAGCTTGAGGTGGTTGAATTTGAGAGACAGTTCCTGGCACGTCTCATTGACAAGTTTTATGAAATTTTGGATTCCATTCCATTCAAAAAAAAGATTTTTACACACTGTAATGGAGCTTTAAAAAAATGTATGCCTTTTATGTAATTTGTAATATTATTTATGTAATTTACTACTTTTACATTTTTGCTATATTTATATTTGCACCTTACAAGATACAGTGAAATAAGTTAGGCAGTATAAATTTATTTTTCTCATATTCATATTAGTAGGTTTTTTAAAAACTTTTGCCACTCATATTTATACACAACAGTCTGATTTTACTTTTTACCTGTAACAAGTGTCGTTGCACTCATGAAGAAACCATTAATTATTTAGTCTGCTCTAACAGATAATGACAATATTTTGTTTTGTTTCTTACTGTAATCTAACACTTTTTAATCTTGCTAGCCTTCTATTGAGTTTCTAATTTCATTCCTGATTCCGACAGCCCTAGATGCTTTGTTTTGTATCGCTGTTTTTGTTGCCACAGGCTCACTGAATCTCCTACTCCCTTCCCCCTTTTTTAACGCATGTACACATTTCTTGTCGGCTCTGTGGCTAAGTAGATGCGAACGCTTTGTAATGCCAGGTTCGATCCCAGCTGCGGGCTATGCACCTTGCGTTGATTAATTAAGGGTGTTTCCTTTCGACAGGGACACAGAGTTGTTGTTTTGCTAAATGTTTAAAAACAGTTCTGTGTATTTGGTCTGATTGGTAGTGTGCACCAATTAACGGGTTTTGCTGCTGCTATTTTGTTTAGTAAAAAGCAGAGTAGAAGTCAAACCTGTATGCAGTTTCCAACTGGCAGATAACAGTATGACTGTCTTTGGCAGTAGTAGATAAGTACCAGAAAAGTTAAACCCTTTGTCCCAGATTTTTTTTCGAAACAAAAAGCCCAATCAAATGTTTTTTCAAAGTTTTTTTTTTTAAAAGTAAAAATACCCATGCCCATCTAAACACTACACAATTGCTAACAGTGCTGAAGCTGTTATAATGGCATAGTGAGGCCTGGACATTACGATAATGTTAAAATGTCAGCCCTAAGGGTATTTGTGATGGATGGCAAGGGCCAAGTATGGGCTTCTCAGGGTGAAAAGGTTATGAAATAAAATATGTGTTGTCAAAGTCTTCTTTCTTTGCCTATCATCTCCCTATGGAGCATAAGCACTCAGTTTAACTCATTCAAAGACATGTAGACCTGTTCATGATGGTTGGATATTAGAGTTTTCTGTAGGGTGCAATAGCTGTTCATGCCAACCCTCTTTGAGTGCTTCTTGAGATGTGGATAGTAGGTTTCATTGTTACCATTAATTGCTTGCCTTATATTACTTTGTATTGCACAGTGTTTGCAGTATTTGAGATAACTATGTTTTGTATGAGTACAAAAGGTCCTTTATCCTGCCTTTGGCACAATGGGCATTTAGTGCTAGAACTATATTTTGTTATATACACTAGTCAGCACTCGATGGATAGTGGGATCATCATCACACCAGCAGCCTCTTGACCATTTTAGGATGGGTCTCATTGTGGGGGTTCTTGGGCCCTAATCTTGCGCCCCCCCCCCCCCTTCCAAAGCAAGAATGTTGTAAAAGCAGACTAATTAAGGGCTGTTTCCTTTGAAGTCAGAGTGTCTGCTTTAGAGGCATGCAAAACTCAAGTGCTTGAACAATACTAAAGTCTAGAAAGGAAGAACCAGAACAGAACTTTCCACTAGAGGTTAAAGCCGGTGAACACAAAGAAGAAAAAGAAGAAAGATGGGTCGATTATCTGGTACTAATTTTAGGGTCGACCTGGGAACCAAGGTCGATTTTGAAAATAATCCACCTTAATTTAGATTTGAACCTTGGATCAGTTGGCAGGCAGGCTGGGGTCCAGGCACTATGCTATTTGGGCTCTTATTTAAAGGTGTAAATGGTTTGGGAAGCCAGCTGCAGTTAAAAAATCTATTTAAAGTGTGATATTACTAACCTGAATTATGTTTTCTGTGATTCAATGCCACAGCTTCTGGAAATGCTGGAATCCTATGCTCAGTTTGAAATTGATGAAATCACAGGAGAGGCACTCACAATGCATGACCGCATAGACTTACATTACAACAGGATCAATGATTTACAGGTAAGAGGTGTCAGAAGTGTTTTATGCTAGCTGTGTTTTCTTCTTCGCCTGTTACAACAGGATCAGTGATTTACAGGTAAGAGGTGTTAGAAGTATTTTGCGCTAGCTTCTTCGCCTGTTACATCAGGATCAGTGATTTACAGGTAAGAGGTGTTAGAAGTATTTTGAGCTAGCTTCTTCGCCTGTTACAACAGGATCAGTGATTTACAAGTAAGAGGTTTTAGAAGTGTTCTATGGTAGCTGTCTTCTTCTTTCCCTGGCCAGAAATATCATCATCAATTCTCTTCAGAGAGGACTTTCCATGTTTTTTTCTTCATCATCATCAGTTCTCGTTATGCCTAGTGGCACATGAGGCTTCAGAGAGGACTTTCCATGCTTTCCTGTCCTGTGCAATCTTCAGTGCAGTTTTCCATGTCAAAGATGCCACACTCAGGTCACTTTCCATCATTCGTCTCCATGGGCGCCCCTTCTTTCTCTTTCCCTCTGGTGTCCATATGAGAGCTATTTTGGCATGTATATCAGGATTCATTTTCATAACGTGGCCAAGCCATTTCCATCTTCTCTTGGTTATCGTACTGTCTAGTTTCTTGGTTTTTGACTTGAAGTAATATAGTGTTTGAGATTATATCTGGCCAGAAAATTTTGATGATTCTACGTAGACATGTGTGGTGGAAGGTGGATAGCTTGTGTGCATCCTTTTTGGTCATTCTCCAGCATTCTGCTCCACAAAGAAGAACTGGTAAAATAATGCTTTTGTAGAGTCGGAGTTTCGTTCCTCTGCAGTAATTGTTGGATTTCCAGATTTGCCTCTTCCTTCCAAAAGCAGCTCTAGCTTTGTTCAGGCGTGACTGTATGTCTTCCTCTGTCTCTCCCAGTAGGGACACCACACTGCCAAGACATGTGAAATGTTCTACATTTTCAAGTGTTTGGTTATATATGGTCACTGGTTGTTGGTTTGGACTGTTTGTCATGATCTTAGTTTTCCTTGTATTTGGGCCAGAAATAGGTTTTCTATTTATGCTGTTTTGTCTCCTGTATAAATTTCATTTGTTTAGTTAATTTGGTGATCCGTAGCATTTACTTTTCACTGTTCTTCCCTTTGACCAAATTGTTTGCCTAAATTTGTCATATTTGGGGCAGTCTTGGAGTATGTGTTCTGCTGTCTGTGGTAACCTTTCACATATACACATTGCTGTTACATGTCTTAAATTTCTTGTGCATGTGTCTGCATAATCGGTTTTGCCCTGTTCTGAGCACAAGATATAAACATTTCTGATCCGTCCATAATAACATTTTTGTCTTGTTAATGGTTTTCAGATGTATTATTGATCCTTTTTATTTAGTGGTATGTGAATATGTTAGTTGTATGACTGTTGGTCTTTCCCTTTATTACTACATGTTCCCGAAATACTGAATGCTTCTTTCTAATATAGTTCTCACGTGGCAGTGTTTTGTAAGTGCTAATTTACTGTCATTCTTTTTTCTGCAGATGGTTGTCTTCAAACATTTCCCAGATTTAAAGGATTTTGCCATACAGAATGTGGCATCTGTAGATACCAAAGCAGCGCTCATCAAGTATTTTGAACCACTGAGGTAATGGGTTTGTGGATTTTATAGTTTTTAACATGCAAACCGGATAAAGTAAAAAGAAATAATAATAAAGATTTTGTGTGTGTGTCGGCCAGTGGTGCATTAGACATATGGTGCTAGACTCATTTTTGTATGGTCCAGTCAGCACTTGTTGAGTGTCGCGGTCACCATCTTACTGGAAAACAGAGAGGCTTCATGTAGGTTAGCCCTTGCCTACCCTTCATGTAGGTTAGCCCTTGCCTACCCTTCATGTAGGTTAGCCCTTGCCTACCCTTCATGTAGGTTAGCCCTTGCCTACCCTTCATGTAGGTTAGCCCTTGCCTACCCTTCATGTAGTCGTGCTTTTGTTACTGTTTTTTTTTTAAAGCCATGTGAAAAGCATTATAGTGAAAGTCTTTCAGTTTCTGCAAATTTTATTTTGTTAATTAAATTTTTTTCTGCAGCATGACCCCCCTTTGCCCTGTAAGGATCTTTAAAACTGACTTCAAATTTAGTTAAAAAAAAAAAAATTTAAAACAAATTGCATCCTTATAATTACATGAAAAAGCCTTATGAAACTAGAAGAAGAGATGATGCAGAAGTAATTTACAGCTTTGATCAGTTTATATATATATATATATATATATATATATATATATATATATATATATATATATATATATATATATATATATATATATATATATATATATATATTCAGGTGATCAAACCTTTAGACTACAGAGAAGACAAGGGAGCATGAAGTCCTCTTATCTATGATGTCGCATCTCTTCAAAAAAAAAATGTGTGACTAAATATCTGAATGTTTCTACCTTAAAGGAAGTAATCAGAGTGCTTTTTTTAATATCCTACCCCAAACAGGGGAAGTCTACTGGTAACAAGACAGTCTGATATTTCAGGGGGTGGTAGATAGGCTGCATGCAGTTGTGAGACCTAGGCTGCACTCCTTCCTTGGACGTAGGTTGGTTGGGGTTAAGGCCAGTTCTATATGTTTTGGGGTCGTTAAAAGCATCAGAAAGCCTGGAAACCCAGTCTTGCCACCCTCTAAAATGTTGGACTGTCCTGTGACGTCATCTGGGGTAGGATTATAATAAAGCACCGTAATCAGTGAATTCAAAAGGCGCAGAGAATTAACTAATTTCTTTCCCTTTGAACATTTAAAGCTGATTTTAGTCACAGCCACAGAGAACATTGTGACATAATAATGAAATTATGTGACGTCACAGTAAATCTATAATTTTTAAAAATCTATTTTTTCTTATTCCCCTAAAAACATCTAAACATTTCTTTCAGGGTAGATATAATAATGCGCACCATGTGTACACACTTTGCATTTGTAGCCAGCATCAGTCATTAGGTCTACTGAGCGCCGTCCAAATGACTTGAATATGTGTGTTGGTGTTAATTTGTAAATTGTGCATAATTATTTTCAGCCCAGAAGATCTACATACGCTTCTGGCTCACCTCAACTACTTGCCTGCTCTAGAAGGAGAGATCTCTCCGTATTCTAAAAGTTTTTTAATGGAACTGCTGGTATGTAGCTCTACAGTCGGTTTTGTGTGTGTATTGCTTTTTTATGTTGAGTAATTGATTTTAATCTGCCCTGTGTCTGAATGCTGACTGGTCTGCAAAAAAAAATTATAGGTCTAGCCCTGTATTCCCAATACTCCTGAAGGCGTGGAGAAAGGGTTCTTTACTTAACTCACTGTGTCTGAGTGAAACTGCTGAATTTATATTGTGTGTATAGAATAAATGAATCCAGAGTTGATGTAGTAGTACAATTTACCCCACTAGGACATCACACAAGCATTAAACACCCGATGACACAAAGTGCTGCCATGTGGATGAGGATCACCTGTGAAGAGGTCCCAGAAACCGCATTCAGCCACTATACCATATTAATGGCCGGGCTATATTGCATTCCATGGCAAGAGCCTGGATAGGGCTTCAAATAAAGAACATTTGCATCCCACAAGGGAGTGACTAAGTCTGTGATTTAGAGAGTTGGTGTAGTAGTAGATTTTTACCCCACAAGCAATAAACACCCAATGACACAGAGTGCCACCATGCGCATGAGGATCACTGGTGGAGAGGTCCCAGAAACCGCCTTCAGCCATTAGACCATTTTTATGGCCGGGGCTTTATTGCGGCCCCTGGCAAGAGCCAGGGTGGGTCTTCAAAATAACAAAAGATTGTATCCCACAAGGGAGTGACTAAGTATGTCAGTTAGAGATTTGACGTTTCTTCACTTGGGACATTCCCACACTTGTTTGGCTTCTTCCTCTGGAGATAGAAGAGTCCTTATACCAATACTCGCAACCTGATTACATGCCCTCCGTCCCTCTTCTAGTTTTGAATATCTTCCAAAACCATTACTGCCTCCACCTCTGTTCTCGGAGAGGATGTTGGGACATGCACAAGTCTCTCTGTTTTTAAAAAGTGTAATATTATGTACAGTTGTTGTGGCAAGTGGTTATTGCCCTGGTCTGTTAAGACAACAGGTGATTTGTGCCCTTGTCTGCCAAGGGAGCAAGTAGTTATTTCCTGGTTCGACCAACAGAGCAAGTGGTTATTTTCCTTATCTGTGTCAGTCTTTTATCAGAGGCAGGATGATTATTAGTTTTCTGACCTGTACAGCTCTGAGGTAGACCCAGCCTCTTAAAAAATAGAAACCCAACAATTTTTTTGGAAGTTGTCCGGGAGAAAAAAATAATTTAAATCTTTTCCCTTTTAGTATCACTGGCTGTAAACTCCCGCGGACAGTTCTGGTTGTTTGTCCACTTCTGGACTTTGGTCTTGCTCCAGAACTTGGGTTTTGCGTGCACATCTATTTTACAGATCTGGTTTATTTGTATGCAAACTGTTGGTGCCTTGCCTCTCAGGCAGATGTGCTTCTACTTTGGAGGACAAATCCCTAATTGGTCACCTTTTATAAAATGCTTTTATTTTTTTTATTTGAAGAAAGGCAGGGGTCTATTCTTTTCTGCCTCCCCCGTAAGGCCCCAGTACCCACACAAGTTTTTTTTGTGTAACCTGACATTTAATACTCCAAAATCAATATATGCTGTTTAAAAAAAAGGTGGAAAAGGGGGGGGGGGGGGGCTGTTGTAGTGTGAGTTTAATTTATGTGTAGGCTTTGTTCAGTAAGTCAAAAAGACGACTCATTGAGAGGTTTTTGTTTTGTGTGTGTGTAGCCATTTATTACTGTTAATATGTTATCGCAATTAATGTCATTGCACATTGGGTATTTCCATGGGTGCTCAGTCCACCGGTGGAGCATCTACTCCAGGCACCTGTACAGATTGTTCCCTTGAGAAATTGGTAATAATGTCTCCCATCTTCAGTTTGAAGATGGATAGATCACAGTGTGTTTTGTAGGTAGTCACTTATTTATGCATTTTATTAGTCATAAATGATTTAGATGTCGTATATTAGCTAGCTAATATTTAATATTTTTTGCTTTGTCATTGGCGATTTGTGTTGTAATTTCAGCACCAAAACCTGTTTTCCTAGTGGTTATGTATTTATTTGCTCTTGTTATCTGCATAAAAAGAATCATAGCTTTGATGTTTACTGTTACGGCAGGGGAGGTGTTGATAAATGGCTTTACCTTTCTGTGCAGATTTGGAAGCATGAACGCAAGCAGTCCCAGCTGGAAACCATTAATGAGATGCCACTGTATCCAACAGAGACAATTATTTGGGACGAGAACATTGTACCATCAGAGTTTTTCTCTGGCGAAGGTCAGTTCATATTATTATAAAAGCAGGTATTATTGTACTGTTTGGTAAAGGTTATGACCCAGTGCATATGATTTTAACACGTACAGTGGAACCTAAGGATACAAATTTGTTAATTTGTTCCGTGGTTAAGCTCGTACGATGAATAACTCATAACCTAAAATTATTTTCCGTACTAAAATTAATGTAACTAATTTTAATTGTTCCAGCCTTCCACAAATCACCCATTAGTTTGAAAATGATGTTTGTTGTTTTGTTACCTGGGAAAACGTGTGGCTCTGCTCCTTTATTTTTTTCCAGCTGAGAAAAGTGGGATTTACGTCCGACCATGTTGCTACAGTCCCTCATCATCAAGTGTCATGTCGTCTGGCTTAAGTCCTCCTTTGGCAGTGTTAACGTGGCCTAATTCATTTAAAAGTTATTGAGATAGATTTCTGGACTTTCTTGAGTTTTGCATGCACATCTGTTTTATAGATCTGGCTTATTTGTATGCACATGCACTCTGACTTCAAAGGAAAACACTTCTAATTAGTCAGTCAGCTTTTAGGACATGCTTGTTGGAAGGGCAGTGGTCTATTCTTTCATTCATTTTTACCCACAGTGACGAGGATAGCATTCAATGATTGATACGGTCAGTATCATTTAATTTCCACAACATTTCTTTGTGCACATTTAATCCTTGGTCAACTTCATGTCAAGTTTTAAAGAATCTGTCTCAGGGTATTTGAACACACGACCAATGGGCTGGCAGGCAGCGTGCTAGCCGCTGCACCACAAGGCTGCCTAGTAAGGTGGGGTAAGCTAGAACTGCCTTTTAGTGCCTGTGTTTTCTACTTATACGATGAGGATTTAGGGCCATAAGGCTGGTGCTGTTGCAGTGGACCATCCAGGTTAAGATTTTATTTCTACCCAGAAGATAATCCGTCACCTTACCAAAGGTTCAAACCTGAGTTTGTCACATCAATTAGGCATTATTACCGTTCAACCAGCTGCTTCTCCAGGGTACGGTGTGGCTGTGTTTATGTTTGACATCTCTTGTAGAACACTTGGATGAAAGAGTATATGTGGAGAGGGATGTTGTTAGCCAGATGTCATACTTACTGTCTTAATATTTTTTTTTTTCTTTTAAACAGGCTGCCTAGCTCTTCCAAAACTGAACTTGCAGTTTTTGACTCTACACGATTACCTGCTGAGAAACTTCAATCTTTTCCGACTGGAATCTACATGTATGTGTTTTTTTTAATACTATCAAATACATCTGTAATTTGAGTTATTACTTGTTTTGATTCGATGGTGAGTAATGAAATAATAGGCAAATCCTAGGCGCTGGAGAGTGGGGTTTTTTTTTTTTTTAAAATTTATTATTTTTTTCAAAAAATATATAGAAGAACTGAGAATGCCTTGAGCAACAGTAACAATAACATTATGGAAGTTCATAATAACTCACTACTGTTTATTCTAGAATTGTCTGGGAACGTTAGATGATGTTGAAGTGAACTGGCTGCCCTGTCTCACATTGTTTGTTTCATTTTAAAATCATCTCAGTGCTGAATTCTTGATGCCAGGAAATCATGTTTTTTTCTGAAGTGGCACATGAAGGCTGTGTATATACTGCAGTTTGACCTTTTTTGAGTAGGAATTCACATGTTTCTTCTTCTGCTTCTTTTTCACTTCCCTTTTTTCTCTTTTTTTTTTTAAAACTGCACTGGGTCTTGAGGGAGACAAAAGGTTTTTCTTCTTGCTTTTCTGGCTGCCTTGACCATAAAAACATCATTGTATGTAGAGTTTCTCTGATGTTATCTTTCTATGCTGTTCTTGGTCTACCTCATGCTATAAATCGCTACCGTCTTTTCATTATGCCTTGTGTGGTGTGGCATCACAAGGCATTCTCTGACCACATGATTTGCTGTCTCTACATGTATTCACATGCATGCCTTATTGTTTGTGTATTGTAATGTGACATATAACTGTTTTTTATGCCTGTATTCCACTTGTTGGTGTGGGATGGGGAAAAGGTGTGGGGGGGGGGGGGGGGTGAGCATGTTATATATAACAGCCCTGAAAACGTACTTAGGTAAAACTCCGAAATTTCGTTCAGGTGATTTTGCCATAGTGCCAACACATGTCAGGGACACCTGGAATAAGTGTGAGAAGCTAACAGTTCACATCACCAGTGGAAGAATCTGCTATGGGATTGTCTTTTTTTCCCCATAACATTTAACAGAAGCTGTACTGATGTGAATGGAAACCTCTTAAGGTTAATGAGTGCAATTTTTTTTAGATCCAAAGAAGTATCTTTTAAACTTCAGACAGCAATAATCTTTGAAATCTGATATGAGTGTTGAATTAAGAATCAACTTCACAGCAGCACTAGGAAAATGCCCATAAGAACTCCTTCCCCATCTGCAACAGCAAGCGTGGAGTTCCAATTCTGACAGCACCATGAAATCTGATAGCGAGTCCATGTGTTTCATTTTTCAACAAAATTCTTGTAATTGATCTGAGTGTACTTTTCAACAGATGAAATACGTCAGGACATTGAAGATGCTGTGACTCATTTGAAGCCATGGTAAGCATTGTAGTTTATTCTGCCGGTTAGCTTTTAAAATGTTTGTGTTTTTTATCTTCATCTGCATCCTCTTGTGCCATTTATACATTTATACTCACAGTTTATTCATCCATTCAATTCTGCCCCTGCAAGCTTTTCAGTACCATGTATGGAATCCATTCCAGCACCTTTGGCCTCAGGAATCATCTTATGCTCTTTCTTGGATGTCCTCGTTTCCTCCATTTGCTTCTCATTTAAGTGCCTCTTTGGGGATTCTCTGTCTTCTTAGGATGTGCCCAGTATATCATCATCTTCTCTGTTTTTAGAACTGTTGCTTATCTTACTATTTTCTTACTTATTATCTGCAGTAGAATGAACGAACAAAGTTAGTTTTTTTAAAGGGTTACAAATTGGGTATGCTGGCCCGTCTTATATAGTGATTCCAATTACATTGTACTGTAGAACAGTGGATAGCTTATTCCGTCTCATTCTAAAAAGTTGACCAGGAAAAAAAGCAGTGCTGTTAGTGAGGCTTCTCGTAAACAAGTCACTGTAGCATGATGGGAATGGTACATAACACAGGAACATGGCAGAAATCGGAAGCGCTGGATTTTTTGCTTCTAGAGGCGAGAATTAAATCTTCGGGCCAGCAGACAAGCATCTCTGGACTGCCGCTGCTCCCGACTCTACACATGGCACTGCAGTATAAACATTTTTTGAAAAAAAAATACACAAACTTCTTAATTATTTTCAAGGGGGTCATCCCTAGAGGAAGAAGATGGCGGACTGCAGAAAAGAGTTTCCTTAAAACTCATGCCATATGGCATTTATAGTCATGTCTGCGCACAGCCTTCTGCCAGTCATTTCTGAAATATTTAGTCAAATGACAGTTTAGTTAAAAACAGAAAAACCATCTATGGTATTTCTTTATTCAGCAGTATAAATATGCCCTAATTAAATTATTTTTCCTTTTGATAAATGGAAATAAACTAACTCATAAATAGGACTGATTATCCACCCAGGAAGGCTAACCCAGGCAACAAAATAAAATAAAGTCAGATATCTTGGCCAAAAGGTGTAAATAACACAGCTATGTTTGGTGTAAATAGGCACAAAACATTTCTTTCTGTCTTCGGATAAAGAAGAAGGACTGATTACCAGTGTGAATTGGCGCATCTTATTTTTGGAACACTCTCCCACTATGAGAATGGAAAGACCTGAATAAGTCATGGCAATGGGAAAGTTTGAGGGGAAGAGAGGATACGGGAAACTAAGAATGGCATGAATGAATCTCTGGATGAAAGATGATTGTCAGCACATGATGCACAAGGTTGTTCACAGACAGACATTGCCAACTCCAAATGGCTTGGACTGTAAGAAGAAGGAATGGGAAACAGTGTATGTCCAGTGCAGACCTAATAAGGAGAACACTAGGGACCCAAATGGTAGTTTTTCTTATTAGTAATTCCTCTTATCCAGATTCAGGCAAGAAAAATTGTAGGGGAAACAAATTGTTTCTCACAAAAGAAAGTCACCATAGTGAAATCACCTTCAGCGGTTTGCACTATTTCTGTTTTAAAATCTAAATAATGGATTTAGTTGATTTCTACAATTCCAACTTTATGAAATACTGTTAATGCTGTTGATTTTAAAAGTTAGAACATTCTGATTTTGTTCTTTTAACTTGATGTTTGTATAATTGCAGGAAAGCTGAAGATGGTCACTGCTTGTTTGGAGGATGGGCTCGCATGGCACAGCCAATTCACTCCTTCAATGTTGTTGAGGTACATACTTCTGATTTATGTTTATTTGAATGTCCCCTGGAAAAGATTTAATTTATTCTACAAAGATGTTTAACATTATGTTATATTTAGTTACAAACATTGGTTAAAGCATTGGTTATCTTGTCAACCCACAACCTTCTGTCTCATGTATGTCTTACCATATGGCATTGGTAATCCCACAACCTTCTGTCTCATGTATGTCTCACTGTATGACATTGTTAATCCTGTCAACCCACAACCTTCTGTCTCATGTATGTCTCATCCACAACCTTCTGTCTCATGTATGTCTCACAGTATGACATTGGTAATCCTGTCAACCCACAACCTTCTGTCTCATGCCTCACTGTATGACATTGGTAATCCTGTCAACCCACAACCTTCTGTCTCGTGTATGTCTCATAATATGGCATTGGTAATCTTGGGTACCCCCAGCCTTCTGTCTCATGTATTTTCAATCATTTCTGATGCAGATGTTCTCTCATGCCATGCTGTCAAACTGTCCAGTATTTTCTCTCTCGGTCTCCCTCTCCTTCTCTTCCCCTCTTACTTTGCCACTGTCATGATGTATTTCAGTTTTCTTCTTCTCATGATTTGATTTGATTCAAGAACCGACATAACAGCACTCGGGGCATTCCCATAAGCGCTCCGTCCCCATCTTCTGCAGCCATCAAAGAGTTCCAATACTAATGGTGACAGTAGCATTCTGATTAAACGTCCGTCTTGCCTTTTCTCTGAGCCTCGAGCATCTGCCAGAATCTCTCGTCACTTCCAACTGCATCAATCTCACCACACTGTGGTGATCAGTCTGCTCCTCCGAACTGTACAAGCTCTCCCACAAGGCACTAACCACGTCTGCCTTATCATGCATCAGTATTCCACAAACCTGTGCAGGGCCAGCCAGTCTGTCCACCTGTTTATTTCCCAACATACCGGCATACCCTGTTGAAAAAATCCAGACTCCTCACCTGCATGCCACTCTGCACAAAGTATGCCTGTCCTGATCTTCCTCAGCATGCTTTCTGAGTCAGTTACAATCACGATGTGTGTGTGTGTGTGTCTTCTTCTCATGACAAGACTAAAGAATGCAGATTGTCTCCTGATGTGGGTAACCAGTTCTCTTCATGAGCTTATTTCTTTCAAGACATTTGCATTATACTCTTGTTATCTGTCTAGGGTGTTCTCATCATTCATTTGTCAGTAGCTTACCTACTTATTTGCTTTTATTTACCTAATAATTTAAATAAATTTCTGGAAATTATGTGGGAAGGAACATGATTGTGAAGTGCAAGGCCTTGCAGAGGTACTAGTGTTCACATTCTAGAGGCAGTAATGTTCACATCCCAGTGGCAGTTTGTTTATATTCCAGTGGCAGTAGTGTTCAAATTTCAGTGGCAATACCGAATGTGGGATTAGCTTTACTTTTGGTGATTCAAAAGAAAATAGATTATATCATGTGGCAATACGTTCAGGAACAAGGCTGACCTGAAAACATGATTACAATACCATTCAGAAACTCATAAACTCAACACTTGGTAGAATAATGTAGAATTGAGATATGTTCTTCTTTTTAACTCTTTCATTCCCAGGAGAGTGTAGCTGATTATACCTGATTCTTATTCTTTTTCTTTGCTTCCTCTTTTATGACTTCAGGTGTCGAGATGGATATAAGTTTATGCTTCTTGCTCTTATGACCACATCGGACAACGGAGATATTCTGAAGACCATATATGAACAACTTTTGGCAGAAGACACGAGATTAGAAAAAATAACATGGGCAAGAATGTGTGAACAAGGAATTAAGTGTGGAACCTGCAAGGAGGGATGGATGAGAGGAAGAGATTGGCGTCTGTGTAATTAGTGTGCTGTGGGAAAAGTTAGCATCTACACCTTACATCATTTGCTGCAGGAGACAGAGCATCTATGGGTATGCCCGGTGTGCTGTGATGTTGATTCTTAAATCAGTAATCTGGCCACCTCGACCATAGACATGTTGTGCTGAGTTGAGTCAAGAATTGACATCACAGCACTCTGGGCATTCCCATGCATGCTCAGTCCTCATCTTCAGCAGCCAGCGCAGAGTTCCAGTACTGATGGTACCGGTTGTGCTGTTGTAGAGTTTCTCTAATATTATCTTTCCATCTTGTTCTTCTGTATAGAACCGGAGAGAGTTTTACATCTTCAGTAATGTGATGAAGTTTTTTCTGTATGGAGCAAAAATAGACATGTTACCTTCACAGTTTGTGGCGACTGCACTTAATTTATTCGGTATCAATAAAAACACTTTCTGTTTATTAGTAACTTCTGTTTGTTGCCTTATAACTGTTTTGGGTGCTTTATTAATATCCTACCCCAAACAGGTGAAATCCACAGGTCATAGGACAGTCTAATATTTCAGGGGGTGGTAGATAGGCTGACTGCTATTGTGAGACCTAGGCTGGACTCTCTCGTGGGATGTAGTTGGGTTGGGGTTAGGGCCAGTTCTAGATGTTTTGGGGTCGTTAAAAGCATCAGAAAGCCAGGAAACCCAGTCTTACCACCCTCTAAAATTTTGGACTGTCCTGTGACGTCCTCTGGGGTCGGATATTAATAAAGCACCCTGTTTTGTCCCTCTTCTGTTGGTAGTACTGATCCACTGTATCCCAATTATTACTTTAAATTCTGCTCTACACTAGGATTATCTGAACCTCTTTGTCTCATCATGCAGTTAGCTTAAATGTCAGCTGATCTAGATAGAATGAAATAAGTAAGACTAAGAACTGTCATGATGTTTTGTTAAAAACAAATTTTTTATAATAATTGTGTGTAGGTTGCAAAACCACAGCTGGGTGAGAATCATCCGGCCCAAGTACGAGCAGATGTCACCTTGAACCTTAGTGTTCGACCAGAGGTCAAATTTGAATGGGGAAGTATGTATTTTTGTTTGTTTTTTCTTTTTTGAATTGTACCGCTTCATGTAATAATTTAGCTAATAAATTGTTGCTAATTATCCTGCTTTTCAAAACAATTGTTCTTTAATTCTCTTGTTTTTGTTGTTATAGTTGTTTTTGTTCTCTTTCTTCTTGTTGTTGTTCTTCTTCTTTAGTGTCTTCTACAACTCCTCATCAGCCAACTCATTATTCATGAAAACTGATGTTTTATGTGGGAAGTGGTGACCATACCATAGGCTGACCATGTGTCCCTTTTTCACCATGTCAGTCTCATTTCTTAAGTCTGTCCCAGCCAACCCAGGACATTTTTTATATATGTAGACCTTATTAGATTTAATACTTTTAGATGCTTTTTTTAATGCCTGAAATGTGTGGGCGGACAATTTTTGTTGTTGTTTTTTTCTTTTTCTTCAGTGCAGTTAAAGTGCATATTGTTTGATTTATTTCTTGGCGACAGTGGTTCAGGCTTTAATGCTGTTGTCGAGCAAGTAATTATTATCTTTTTCATCCCTGTGGCCTAAAAAAAAAAAAAAGAGGGCGTGTTAACCTGACTTGCTTGAGAACCACTGCCATAGAGAGTGAGGGGAGTAATCTAATCAGTCAAAATAAATGCAGCATAGAATTAGTTGGCTTACATCTGTTGGGCTTCTAAACTAATTATAGACTTGACCCTCTGACCTGGTCACCTAATAACCATTGTAGCCGGTGGAAAATATCTTGTAAGAGTTTCTATAATTTAAGCCCATTATGTTTTGGTAAATTTAATCATCCCCTGTCACACTGAACATTTGCGTAGACATAATTAATTCTGTTATCTGGACTTCTTGTAAACATGTCTTATGTATATTTGTGTGTGGTTGTGTGTCTGCATGCCCAGTTTTTGACCCTCTGAAAATAAAGTTTGTTTGTTCATTCATTTTTCTCGATTGTAAATGGAGAAGGTGACTTGTACCACAAAATGGAACCAACCAGAAGTGTCGGTTTTGTGGCTTCTCGGGGCAGAGGTTAAGTATTTACTTGAGACTGCAAGAACAGAATGTCATCTTTAGAATGACTAATCCCTGTGTCCGTTCCCGGACCCCATTGGGGGGGGGGGGGGGGGGGCAAAAAGAAAAGACCCACTGCCTCCAGAACAAGCATGTCGTAAGAGTCCTCTGACTGGGGGCTTCCTTCGAAGTTGGAGTGCATCTGCCTGAGGGTCAAGGAATGAACAATCTGCATACACGTAAGTCAGATCTGTAGACTAGATGTGCATGTAACACTCAAGTTCTGAAACATGAGTAAAGTCCAGAGGTAGATGAAAAGCAAGAAAATTCCGCTGGAGTTTGTAACCGGGAACAAAAAGAAGAAGAAAAAGAGTGACTAAGAGATTTGTGGTGAGTTGCTTGGTACCTAAAGAGTTGCTGTAATTTGATACATGTATTTTATTTTTTGGTAAGGTTTGAGGAAGCACGATGTTGCCTTTTTGATAACCCTGAGGCCTGAAGTTCCCATCGGATATAAGTATAATAATACTAAGCCCTTCATCCCACAGGTAAGACCATTGGTTCCTATGTAAGCAATGTAGAAAAAAGATGAAACAGTTAGAGCTATAGTAAAATATGATTAACATGAACACGTTAAGAAGAATACTAAGATTACACGAACAACATTATTTTAATATGAATTCTTTATTTATCAGTCCCTTAAAATTTGTGTTAATGAGGGTTTACTGTTTAATCTTAATAATAATAATAATACAGAAGATAAGAAGAATCTCTTTATAGCAATGGAAATTTGTGGAAGTGAAAAATAATAAAAATCTGATTCCAAACTTAGAATATTTAATTCTGTGAAATCAATGCTTATGTAGAAACAGACTAAACACTTTTTAGTTAATTAGTTAGTTGACAGATTATCCTCATTGCATATCGAACCTTTCAGTCCATAAGTGCTCGATCCCCTCCTTGTTAAATTGTGTAGCGGCTCACGACACCAGTTTTATGTTGTTTCTGATTCTACTTTGGCTTCCTGTATAGTGCTCTTGTCTGTCCACACTCCTTTTGATATGTTGTTCTTGTAGTCTGTCACTGTTATGGATTCAGTCATCACATGGTTCTCGCAAACATCTTACTTCTCGTAGAGCATTCAAAATATCAGTATGGTCCAGGGCTCGTTTGCCCTCCACAGTAACATTACCTGCAAGCTGATCAGCCTACTCATTCCTCTGCATGCCCTGGCACAAATAATGAAACTGATTTGTGTCAGCTCTGACTGCTTTAGAGATTCCAGCCACTGAATTTGGATCCAGCCCTTCTCTGTCTTCCTGAGCATACTCATTGAGTCACAGAGAAAGCATGCATGAAAAGGTCTGTGTCTCCAGCCACGTTATTGCTTTGGTCACCGCCATGACCTCTATAGTCAGACTACTTGTGGTCAAGGCAGTAGCACCAGAATCTTGCTTCACAATTCTAACTCCAGTCTGAACCCCAAAAAAAACAAACCAAGAGCTAGCTTCTCATGTGGCGAACCACATTTCCACCTGTGTAAATTACAGCATTCCCCGTAGATAATTCTACAAAAATCAAAGCCTGCACTTTTGCCTCAACAGTGGCTGGACTTTCTTGTCTGCATTCTGTCTAGATGGATGCAAACAGAAAAGGTCGTACAGCCCTATGTTTGTACTTGTACCCATTACTTACCAGGTTCTATGTCCTTAAGTGAACTCACCTGCTGAATAATATCCTCGACCTGATCCATCCACAATTTTACTCTTTTTAACCTGCTGCCTTTTGTCTTCTTGATTTCACCATGAATCTGCATTGACTCTGAGGTAGGCACCGCTCGGCAAATTTGAATTCTGTCCTCCAGAGTTGGAAAATCGATCTTGTACATCCAGGTATAATACACATAGCCTCATTCTGTATCCTTTCCATCCTATCTCTCTACTCATGGCTGAGAGTCAGGATCGCATACTCAAAGACAGAAAGGACCAGACCCTGATATTAAAGACATAAATGTCACTTCTCACAGCTTGATAGAGCCTTCACTCTCAATGCAGCCGAGCCCCACTTGGCTTTCATCATCACCTGGTCTATGTGCTCAGTATAGGCCAGGCCGCGATCAGATCATATCCCCAGGTACTTCATTGCCTGTATTCTTTCCACAGTCTCTGAGCATAGACTTACAGTTGGCATTGGGGTGTTGACATGTGGTTATCCAAAAAGAACCCAAATCACTGCTGCCTTCACTATATTTACCAATGCACACGATTAACCACACCAATTGTTTATGCTGTTGAATTCTGTCTGTAGTTCTCCAGCCTGGTTTCTAAATTAAAAACATCATTTCCTGTGCAGGTTCATAGGTACCATTGAGGAAGGGGGGGGGGGGGGATAATAGACCCACTGACTGTCTAAGAAGCATGTCGTAAAATCTACTAATTAGGGGTGCTGCCTTTTAAGTCAGAGAGAAGCTGCTTGAGAGACACGAACCATCAGACTGCATACAAATAAGCCATATCTGTAAAACACATGTGCATTCAGAACTCAAGTTCTGGGACAAGACTAAAGTCCAGAAGTAGACGAATGGACTTCTGGTCTAAAATTAAGGATTAGGCATGGCAGAATGTTAAGCTTCGAAGTTTTTTTTGCTTCTGATAGCGCTTCGCTAATGCAGTTTCCTCATGTGGATGGTAATCTATGGTTTTGCTGCCTGAGTTTAGTGCTTGGTGCAACCCTGTGAGCTGTATATTTTTTATGTAGAATGCCTTTCATTTGTGCAGTGATTGTGTCATGGTATCCAGTATGACCGGTATCCGGTTTCTGTGTGAGCTGATGAAATACCTTATGTAATAATTATATGCGTGTGTAACCAACTTATCGTGCCTGACTACTTCCAACGACAAACTGCATTGCTAGTGGCGACTGTTAGCTTTGTTTGGCGCCCCTAGCCACTGCCATAAGCATTTACTGTGTGCACATATTTCTGGAGTGTTCCAGGATAATTGTTTGTTTACCAGTTGTTCAAATGAGTGGGTGAGGGACATTTCATTTGATTTGCACTGGTAAAGGAACGGAGCAAGTACGGGGAAACCTGATTGCAGTGAAGTTGAAATCCTGACTGAGACTAAGACTGTGTGGAAGAGTAACTAGAATTTGAGAAAATTGCACACACACACACATCTGACATTTAACAAACTTATCTATTGCTAGGTTGGTCTTGTGTATGTGAGAGGCTGTGAAATAGAAGGTCTACTTGATGAAAATGGAAAACTGATTGAAGAAGGTCAGTGCTGCATAAATTAGAACTAAAAATACTTTTGTAACTAGAGCAAGTAAAAAATGTTTGTTTTTTTAAAAAAGGATAAAGTTGAACTCTTCTTCTTCTTCTTTTTCTTCTTCTTCTTCTTTCTTCTTCTTCTTCTTCTTCTTCTTCTTCTTCTTCTTCTTCTTCTTCTTCTTCTTCTTCTTCTTCTTCTTCTTCTTCTTCTTCCTCCTCCTCCTCCTCTTCCTCCTCTTCCTCTTCTTCCTTCTCTTCCTCCTCCTCCTTCTTGGCTGTAAACTAATTTCTCATACTTTTGTGCATATATTCACATTTTCAGACTCAGTTTGATTTTACATTGGTGGAAGAAAAAAAAAATGCGCGCGCACACACACACGCACGCACGCACACACACACACACACACATATATTAATTTACATGCTAAAGCATTCTAGTTTGAAAAATAAAACAGTTATCCCGTATTTGTTTTAATTATTAAGAAGGTGCTATGTCTATTGATTGTAACTGAAACTGTTTGCTTGGATTTACTGTGTCAGGTCCTGAACCCAAGCCAGAATTCCACAGTGACAACCGCACCTACAGGGTTTGGTTGGATCCTAATCAGTACCAGCTGGATATGACAAGAACAGTCAACGGAGAAGAGGTGACAGTAATAGTAGTATTTATATTAGGGTGACTGAGCTTGATTCTCCGTAAATGAAGTGTACTAGAGTAAATATGAAGTGCACTTTAGAGTAAATTAAAAGTAAAGGATCTTTTCCCATACCTTCAGGCATATTAGGCACATAAGGCTAGACCTATACTCCATAGACCAATCGGCACTCTGTGGTTGATGTCGTCAAAATCATGCCGGCCGCTCTTACTTACCTCCTAGGATCCTACCTGGCACCCATTTAAGGCTGTCGACCTTGGAGCCAAGGTAATTTGGGGGGGGGGGGGGAAATCGGCTCCGTCAGGAACCCCCGACCTTCAGATCTGCAGGCAAGCATCTAACCACTACACCACAGAGGTTTCCATACTTTAGAGTAGCTATGTTTATCTCTTTTATTTAAATTTTAGTTTGATATATATATATAGAAAAAATCGCCATAATCGAACACCTCACCATTGTCGAACACCGCTTCATATTTCCAGCATTCTGGGTTCAGTCAGCTACCTGGAATTTAGCATTTTTCTCGAAATGATAACGGAGTATCAGCCATTTATTGAGCAATGGAAAACCACTGAATGTAAAATTGCTTAGTCAAAAACCAACAAAATGTTGGGGTTAGTTTTCAACTTCCTGTAAAAATGTACGCAACAAACTTATAAAGAAAATATGGAGAGATTATTACATAGAGCATTTCAAGCAACCCAGGAGCACCCGCATGGTTTGTTTCCTTGTAAGATTTTTAACCATTAAGTCCAGCTTGCTATTCTTCTGGCTGTTTGCATCCCAGCCGGCCTGACCACTGTATGGATAATCTTCTTTTAGTTCTGCAACCATAAACTCCGTCAGAAAATTCTCGTTGTTCGTCAACTTCTCAACTGTAGCCCTATTTCAAAACTGGAGTGTTGCGTGCACATCCATTTTACAGATTTGACTCATGTGTATGCAGACTGTTGGTTGCTTGCCTTGCAGGCAGATGCACTCCCATTTCAAAAGAGGCTCCCAGTCAGTTGACTTTTTTAAAAGATTATTTTGGGTAGGCAGTGAGTCATTTCTTGTTTTCCCTATAATGGATCCACGGAACCCACACGGGGAGTATAGATAATGACCCTTGATCCTCCTTTGATATTAGACAATAGAATGAATCCTCCGGGTGGTAGTAAATTCTCATAGAGATTAAGTTTTTCATTTCTAGTAATTAAGAGAAATATAGTATATAGACAGTGGACATATATGTTGGCAGCAACCAGTACCTTATAACTAGATAATTGAAACTGTAATTAGGTAATTGAAACTGTGACAGATAATTGTAATTAATCTGAAACTGTAATTAGATAATTGTAAGTTTGGATAATTGATACTGTAATTATGTAATTGTAAATAATTTAATAAGATAATTGTAACTGTAATTAAATTATTGTAACTAATTAGATCATTGTAATTAGATACAGCTAACACCAGTAACATATTATTGCTGAATTGGCTGCTGAATATGGGGACAGGGTGTTTATTGGATGCCAGAGTGCTGTATTGTCAGTTCTTGACTCTAGTTGCATATGTATAAATGCTGATCGTTTTAAAGAAATGCACGTATAGTCTAAAAGAAATGTAACCCTTTTTGACTCCACTACTAGTCAGTCCAGTAACAAGTGATAGTCTATTAATCATCCCCTATATTAGCTAAATCATGCTATAGTATATGGCCACTCAACTATCTGCCACTTGCCAGATGCAGTCAGTGATGGGACATGTTCCTACTTATTTTCTGATACGGTTTTTTTTAAAGCCCCCATCCCCATAAATTTGCATTCTTTAAGATTAACATCACAAAAATGAGAAACAAACACCTACAAACCCTGGAAGCCTTGTTCCACCTTATAGCCATGTAACACAGTTATGTTGGGGCACCTCAAAACAGCTATGAATTTTCCTGTAGTCCACTGTGCGTGGGTTGACTGTTATAGTTTTGTTTCTGTTAATATCACACTTGTTTTTCTTTTGAAATTTGTTCAGTGAAGAGTGCGTCTCATCTGTGGACAGTAAAATAAGAGTTTCACCTGTTATCATTTCTTCCCCTTTAGGATGTGTATGAAACATTCAATGTCATGATGAGAAGAAAGCCGAAAGAAAATAACTTCAAAGCTGTGTTGGAGACCATCAGGGACCTCATGAATACTCAGTGCGTTGTGCCAGATTGGCTGCATGATCTTATTCTAGGCTATGGTGATCCAGATTCAGCACACTATTCTAAGTAAGTCTGAAACCTTTTAACTTACTTGGGGTGACAAATTAATACTTTGTATGCTCCAGAATTGTATTTTTAGGCCAGCGATCTCCAACCTTTTTCAGGTCACACCCCCCTTGAGTATATGGCAAGACCCCCACACCCCCTCCAATCAACGCAATAAAATGGGATTATAAATAGGGGGACAACAGAAAGTATGAAGCTACCTTTTGGACAGAATGTGTTCCTGATCTATAATTATGTGCCTGTATTATCATATTAATTAGATTTGTAACTGTAGATATATAAACTGCTTATGAAAACGAATGTTATTGGCTTTTTGTTTTATAAATATTTCTTTAAAAAAAAATATTTTTAGTGAATAAAAAAATAAAAATAAGATAACTGATTATTTTTTAAATACAAATGTGCTCAATTTCAAAATTGCTTGACCTCCCATCTTTCTAAACCACATTGCTCTACCAGGCTGAAGACCACTGTTTTAGATTATTCATGCATTCATATCTTCACTTTAAAAAAGAACTTTGGTTTAGCTATTTTTATTTTCAAGAAGGCAGTAATATTATATACATTGTTGACACTTTCTACTATGATCACTTGTCAGGCAGAAAGGAGTTTCAAGGCATTTGAAGTGTTACATGATTGATGTTAATTTTGTCTGTAAAAGATTAGAAAATTAGCACATTTAATTAAGAAAGAACTCACATTTCATTGGCATAGAAAAAGTTGGAAGCTGGGAAAGAAGTAGATAATTTTGTGCTATTCATTTGTCTGTTGATTCATACTGAGATTTTTTAAAATTCTAAGTGCAGTTTCCTGTATTAAAATGTGACTTTTTGTGTGGCTTGCAGGATGCCAAACAGGAAAGCTACCTTAGACTGGAATGACACATTTCTCAGTATTGAACATTTGCAAGCCAGTTTTCCTGGATCTAATGTCATTGCATCTGAGGATAAAGAGAAGCAAGTGCCTCCATTCAGGTGAGAAGATTCTTCTTCTTTATTTGTCCTACTGATTTTGTACTAAAGCGTCGCAGAGAGGATAAAAACAGTTTTTAAAAAAAAGTAAAAATCTCCTTTCACGCCTTTGGCGCATCAGGCATATGGGAAGAGCACCCCATATGTTTACAGACCAATCAGCACTAGGTTTGTTATGTGGTCAGCATAACGCCGGCCATCTTTACTTCCTCAGAACATCCATCCTAGTGCCAATTTTAGGCTAGGCGGACCTATGACGCCCTATACCATGATAATAATTCACGCAGCCAGCAGTGGGTTTCGATCGTTAGACATTGGAATTAGGAGTCGGACTCGCAGTACCTAAGCCATGGATGCAGCCGCAGAGAGGATTTACTTACTTACTTACTTAGTCGCTCCCCTTCTACCTTGGAGGGGTAGAGGTTTGCCAGAGAGATCGCCAGACGTCTCTATCAGCCGTTTTCTTTCTGGCTTTGTTCCATTCCACTCCTCTGTCAGTTAGGGTCTGTCGGATGTTGTCTTCCCAGCACTCCCTGGGCTGCCCTGGAGGTCTGGCTCCCTGGTTCTTAGCCTCCCATGCCTGCCATGGTGGCCGATTTTCTTCCATTCTGCATACATGCCCGAACCATCGTAACCGTGACTGATCCACTCGGGTTTGTAAGGATTGGGTATCAAGTTCTTGACGTATTGTTTGATTGCGGACTTTGTCCCTTCTTGTCACTTAGACCACCTTTCTCAGATATCTTATTTCTGAGGCAGAGAGGATATATGTATGTCATTTCCTGTCTTTTGCTAGTTGTGTAGCATTTCTTGATGTCATTGCATTACTGAAATGTCACTTTCACTCCCTCCATACCCATTTTCCTTGCTCAGTCTCTTGACTTGTAACCTGCTGTTGAAGGAATGTAGTCTGCTGTAGCTGCTGGCTGATTTTCTTCCATTCTGACCAGGTGACCAAACCATTTGATTCTTTGATGTTTTTGTGAAATCATTTGCCAGTTCTGTACCTACCATTGTTCTTAATTCTTCATTGGTGACTCTGCCTCTTCTTGTTTTTTTCCAGTGCCACATTTCGTAAACATCTCATCTCACATGTTGTAATTTTGTTAATGTTGGGAGAAGAGACCTTAACCTGTTTGCTACCATCGTCTTCTTTATCGTAGCAGCACACAGATGTGAGTCGTGGACTATCTCCCAGTTCTTAAGAAAGAAAAAAGGAACTTTTGAACTGAAATGCTACAGAAAGATCTCAGAATATCATAGACAAAGAAGAGGAAAATTACTGACATTTTAAAAGATCAAGGATGATAATAAACAGTATCCTATCTTGGAAGCTGAAATATTTTGCTCATGTCAAGCGCCATGGCGGTTTGAAAAATAATAATAGCATGGAACCAGAAAGGAGAAGCAGGGACGAAGATTGGCACAGGATTTAAGTGACTGCTTGAATATAAGAGTACATGAGGCGGGAGAGCTGGCGAGAGACCGAGTTTCTTTCAGGCAGACCGTGATGAGAGCGACGTTTTGCAAAGGACCTGCTACATGATGATTATGATGATATCAGGACCATCGTTGCTGTCGCTTAAATTTAATTTTTCTTTAAAAATTTTTTTTATAAGAGGCTAAGCTTTTACCTATTTGCTACCATTGTCTTCTTTATCTCTGTTGTCTCCCTTATTTTCACCCTCTTTAGAATACAGTCGTGGGGTCCTATTGCAACTAATCTGCCTCATTACCTGTATCACTCATGTTCTACTTGCACACATCTTTATATCATAGCAGAGGCCAGATAAGAGATGGTAGTCTTCTTTTTGTTCACATTTACCGGCTGTAAACTGCGGTGAAAAGTTCTGGTTTACCACTGCTGGACTTTAGTCTTGTTTTAGAACTTGACTGTTTGTGTGCACATACATTTCTCAAATCTGGCGTATTTGTGTGCAGACTATTGGTTCCTTGCCTCTCAGGCAGATGCACTGTGACTTTGAAGCAAACCCTAATTAGTCAACTCTTATGACATGTGTGTTAGGGAGGTTATAAAACCAAACTAAAATAAGATCTCATCAGGTGCGTTACTACAGAGTTACATCAACATAAAATAAAGCACAAATCTGAATAAATTCAACTGAAATAATTAATTGCCAATATAATTTATTGATGTAACTCTAGTAATGCACCTGATGAGATACAGCGAAATATGCCTGGCAATAAATTATTCCAGTTGAATTTATTCAGTTTTGTGCTTTATTTTATGTTGATGTAACTCTGCAGTAACGCACCCGATGAGATACAGTAAAATTAGATCAACGAGCTTCACAATATAACAAACACAAAACAAAAAGTAAACATTGCAGTCACAGAGCTGTCACTAGCACGTTACGCAAATTAGACAAAACCACACAAATATACTGAATCACTTATCTGACATATCCTGAAGAAGCCCCGTTGATGTCTTGTCAGTGGAAATTTGTTAAAGAGGCATTGGGTCTCTTCTTGTTTTCTCCGTAATGGGGTCCAGGAACCCACACAGGGGAAGAGATGGTGGTGATCAGATAATAATTATGTATTCTTCAGTGATGTAACAGTGAATATGCTTTGTATTCCAACAGGTTGACATTTGAAGAAGAAATATCTGAAGGGAAGAGGGAATTGTCAGCCGAAGAGGCAAAGACTGCCAGTAGAATTGTGAAAGCAGTGTCACACACTATTCCAAACAGAGGACCTTATCCTTATAATCAACCCAAAAAGTAAGAGACCTTATAAGGAATATTTGCTCTTTCTGTTCCAAAAACACTTTGTTATTACAGTCAGATTTGAACAGGACAATTGGAAGCTTAACTAGCTTTTGTTAACTCTTTGAGTACTGGTTTATTTACCATACATTTATTGTTAACTGTTTATATCATATACATTTCTTATCTTCTCTTGCCTAGTTTCTGTTTATATTATATACATTTTTTTTATCTTCTCTTGCCTAGTTTCTGTTTATATCATATACATTTCTTATCTTCTCTTTGCCAAGTTTCTGTTTATATCATATACATTTCTTATCTTCTTTTGTCAAGTTTCTGTTTATATTATATACATTTTTTATCTTCTCTTGCCTAGTTTCTGTTTATATCATATACATTTCTTATTTTCTCTTGCCTAGTTTCTGTTTATATCATATACATTTCTTATCTTCTCTTGCCTAGTTTCTGTTTACATCATATACATTTCTTATCTTCTCTTGCCTAGTTTCTGTTTACATCATATACATTTCTTATCTTCTCTTGCCACGTTTCTGTTTATATCATACACATTTCTTATCTTCTCTTGCCTAGGTTTCTGTTTATATTGTACACATTTCTTATCTTCTCTTGCCTAGTTTATCTGTTAAATAAATTTATTTGATCCAAGCTGTTATTTTATTATCTTCTAGCCAGGTTTGTTTTGAAAAAAAATTTTTTTTAAATATAAAGTGTACATTAGCTTTACAAAATACATTTCAAACATAAATGTAAAAACCGGAAACAGTAAAACCTCATTAACATTAATTCAGAGAGATGGATAACTGGCTTGAGTGTTGTATCAGCATAGGTTTTACAGATATTTCTTATTTAAATGCAGACTGTTGGTTCCATGTCTGTCAGGCATATGAAGTTTGACTTAAAATATCTTGACCAGTGTGAGTGCCATGAGTGGTTCAGCAGCTGTGTATCCTGGTTCAGCAGCTGTGTATCCTGGTTCAGCAGCTGTGCTTCCTGGTTCAGCAGCTATGCATCCTGGTTCAACAGCTGTTCCTGGTTCAGCGGCTGTGCTTCCTGGTTCAGCAGCTATGCATCCTGGTTCAACAGCTGTTCCTGGTTCAGCGGCTGTGCTTCCTGGTTCAGCAGCTATGCATCCTGGTTCAGTAGCTGTGCTTCCTGGTTCAGCAGCTGTGCTTTCTGGTTCAGCAGCTGTGCATCTCTATGCTTATGGAGGCATTCATATTCAGTGGAAGTCATCCATCACCGCAAACCTCAGAAAGAGACAGTATCACGTTTCAGCCATGTTTTTAGAAGAGAGAAACTGGAGTTGTGACTGCTGGGAGAGACTTGGGGAAAGAGAGACAGAGGAAGACAACATGAGAAGATTCTTGACAGCCTTTTGTGAAGGCATGGAGGGTTGTCAGCACATGAACCAGTGAATGCTCATTGAGATTGCAGGTTGTAAATAGTGTGATCGTCTATCCAGATTGACAAGGCATGTGTTGATAATGATCCTTTACCGATCAAACCGGGCAACAAATGCCTGTAGAAGACGGATGTGTTGGCCGAAAGGTGCTAATATCACAGCCATGCTGTAAACGGACACAACACAATTACATCTTCGGATGAACGCAGAAGAAAAAGAAAAACCAAGTAATACTGTGCGCAGATTTGGTGTGCGCACTAGACCACATTGGTGACCGGGTCGCCCATTGGCTCGCCAGTAGACGACTTCGCCGCTGGTTGAGACAGTATTTGGGTCTGTCTCCTATGATCGTTTCAACACTACACTAGTTCTTTTCAGAGCTCTTGGTGGCGTGCAATGCTAAGCTGTTTTATATGGCGCACATAACATAGTCACAATTATAACCTAAAGCTCCCCTTTCAGGGATGTTGGCCAATGTGGCGATGTTTTTCTTTCAGCAGAACACCTACCTATCCACCTTCTTAGCATTCAGAAGCTATTTACTGTGAAAAGTTCTGATGATTCTGTCCATTTCTGGACTTTAGTCTTCTTCCAGACCTTGAAGTTTGTATGCACATTCGTTTTACAGATCTAACTTACTTGTATGCAGACTGTTGATTCCTTGCCCCTCAGGCAGATGTGCTCTGACTTAGGAGGGATACTTGTTGAATGTTACAATTTTGTATTCCCCCCACCCCCTTTCCAAGCACCGAAGTGTGCACACTTCAACGGATAAGTGACTCATACATTTTAATTTTGTTCATTATGCATTTTTATTCACTATTCCAGAAATGCGATTCAGTTCACGCCAACTCAGGTTGAGGCCATCAGAGCAGGCATGCAGCCAGGCTTGACCATGGTGGTGGGGCCTCCAGGTACAGGCAAAACTGATGTTGCTGTGCAGATCATCTCCAACATCTACCACAACTTCCCCAACCAAAGGATACTGGTTGTTACCCATTCTAATCAGGTTTGTTATTGCCTCAATACAAGTGTAAGCAGACGTTAAGCTTTGAATGAATATACACATCTGTCACCCTGGTTGTTTCAAATGGCATTATCAATTGATGAATCCAGAAGTCAATGCATGCCTGAATAAGTTGATTGTGTTTCCTGAAAGTGAAAGGCACATATATCGCATATCTGCTATAAACAATCACAGCACAATTACATTCTGAGGGGAAAATTTTTTAAAATGAATGATGATTTTTAATGTGTTTGATCTTCTGCTCCAGTGTTTACCTCAAAATATTTCGTGGGCTTGTTTAGTTGTGGTTTACAGATAGGCTGTGATATCTGCGTCTTTACAGATAGGCTGTGATATCTTTGTCTTATAGTTCAGGGCCCCTGCTCCACTGAGATAAAAGAAAGAATACAATTTTCTTCGTCTTAATGTTCACTGGCTGTAAACTGACAGAAAGTTCTGGTTGTTCATCCACGTCTAGTCTTTCCTTTTATTCCAGAACTTGAGTTTTACATGCTCATAAATTGTCCAGATCTGACTTATTTGTATGCAGACTGTTTGTTCCTCACGTGTCAGACAGATTCACTCGGACTTTGAAGGAAAAATTGCTAATTGGTCAAAATGACATGTTTATTAGAGAGCAGTGGGTCTAATCTTGTCCCCCCCCCCCCCACCCCAAATGTAACCATCAGAATCCACAAGGGGACAATAAGAATATCAGATTGATTTCTGCACAATGAACTGCCATTATGGTTTGTATAATTTTAAAGTTAGTTCAAAATGTAAAAAAAATGGTACTCTTAAAACTTATTTTGCAAAAGTAAAAGTAGCCAGCACTCATCAACATCACATGCCCTACCAGACCCACAGACCCAGAAGGCGCTCGTGTCTCTAAATTTCAGTCCTTGGTATTTGGAATCAATTTCATGGATAACATTGCACCATGCCATTGCATCAGGCTGTCAAGCATCCGTCTCTCTTTGTCTGCCTCTTTTACCACAGATCTTTCCAGTTATCACAATGTTCTCCAGTACCTCTCTTCTCGGGGAGTCGCGGTGGCCGAGCGGCTAGACGCTCGCCGCAGATCAGAAGGTCGTGGGTTCGCTCCCTGGCGGAGCCAGACTAATTTTTAAAAATGACCTTGGCCCCCAGGTTGACCCAGCCTTGAGTGGGTACTGGGTGCAGTCCTAGGAAGTAAAGGTGGCCGGCGTGATGCTGACCACATCACCCATCTTGTGCCGATTTGGTCTATAAAAATATAGCCCTATATGCCCTATTCGCCTAAAGGCATGGAAAAGGGTCCTTTACTTTTTTTTACTTACTTCCCTCTCTTCTCATCATATGACCGAAGAACACCGATTGCCTCTTTGTTTTTCTAGTCTTATATAGTTTTCTCATTCCATTAACCATTTCCAGAGAGCAGTTGTTAATCACTGTTAGTGAGCACTACAAAAGTAATATTAACAGTTGCTAGACTTGAGTTAACAACATCATAGGACTGTGCATGCAAGGGAATGCCCACTATTCAGTGATTTTGATTGTGATAACATAACGTACCATTCTTTTCTCCAGGCCTTGAATCAGCTGTTTGAGAAAATCATGGCCCTGGATGTGGATGAGAGACATCTGCTGCGTCTGGGTCACGGTGAGGAAGCTCTGGAGACGGAGAAAGATTTCAGCAGGTATGTGACACGTTTTAGTTATCTCTTTCATGAGAAAATTAAGTTTTTGAAGTTGGGAATGAATGATCGTAGATCACAAGGCAGACCAAGGAGACAATGGAGAGATAATATCCAGGCAAACCTACAAACTCTTGGTGTCACCAATCGGATATAGAAGGCCAGACTGAGAGATGAATGGAAGTGGGTCATGTCTGCAGCAATGTACCTCAAGGGCTTGGAATGCCGAAGAAGAAGAAGATTTGTCACATTTTAATTCAGGCTTTTTGTTGATGTAGAATAGATTCAGTCATCGAATTGATTGTGTGGTTGACGGTCAGCATGTTGTAAAGGTATGAATAGTAGGGCTCTGGCTAAAAGGCTGTTTTGAACTCTTTCACTACCAAAAACACCATGTGTTTCTTGGTCATTCCAGTGATAATGAGATGCTCTTGCTATTCACTATCACAGACAAATGTTATGTTAACCCTCTGCACTTGAATTATTAGTTTAGCTACTTTCTGGATATAGATAATCTTATTTCAAGTAAATGAAAGTAGAAGAAGTATGAGAATTGAGTGGAGACAGTAAGAGCAGCTTTTCAATAGCTTGAGAGCAGTCCAGCCAAACATGTTTTAATTGTAACGGACTCACAGAGCATCTTTGGAAAATAGAAACTGGTATACTAAGTGCAGAGCGGCTTGCATTGCTTGACAAGACTCAAACCAGAAGCATGTCTTGGATTTTTTGTCAGGAGATTTGGGTGTGTGGAGTAACGAGCAGGCTGATAGACTGGCTGCTGCCATCACTCAGGTTGGTGAAAAAGGAAACCCAGCTAACTGATGTGCTATAATTATTTCCTACAGATATGGTCGAGTGAACTACGTCCTTGCCCAGAGACTGGAGCTCCTGCAGGAGGTCAACAGGTTACAGATTAGCCTCGGAGAGACCGGGGATATGTCATACACATGTGAGACTGCTGGCTACTTCTACATCTATCAGGTAACAGCATTGCATCTTGCTTGAAACGTATGTACTGGCCGATTAGGGAGTCTAAAATAATGAGAGAAGAGATAATATTAACAATAAAGACATTAGAAGACAAGGGCTGAAACCAGTCATACTGTTAAAGATCGCCAGATAAGCTGGTAGGTGATATGATGAGAATGTCTTGGTAGCGGCTGCCACAGAGAGCCAGAGTGAAGAAATATAGTGAACATATATCCAGGGAAGACCTGACAACAGACCAAACGACAGCATTAAAAAACAGCCTTAACAAAATCAATCAACTTATAAGATCAAGATCAACTTATAAGATCAAGATCAACTTATAAGATCAAGATCAACTTATAAAGATCAAGATCAACTTATAAGATCCAGATCAACTTATAAGATCAAGATCAACTTTTAAGATCAAGATCAACTTATAAGATCAAGATCAACTTATAAGATCAAGATCAACTTATAAGATCAAGATCAACTTATAAGATCAAGATCAACTTATGCAACACATCTGAAAAAGCACAAAGAAGATCCTTACATCTCCTGCCAACACTTTGATGAGGTGTCTGGAGGAAGAAAAGAGGAAGAAGAAGAGAAAGTAATGAGTCATCTGAGAAAGTAATGAGTCATCTGAGAAAGTAATGAGTCATCTGAGAAAGTAATGAGTCATCTGAGAAAGTAATGAGTCATCTGAGAAAGTAATGAGTCATCTGAGAAAGTAATGAGTCATCTGAGAAAGTAATGAGTCATCTGAGAAAGTAATGAGTCATCTGAGAAAGTAATGAGTCATCTGAGAAAGTAATGAGTCATCTGAGGAAGTAATGAGCCGTCTGTTATGCCAACTTCAAAAGTATCAGTTGCAAAAGTGTTGTGGGGATTTCTTACACATAATGAGGGGAGGTTAAAACCATTATGCTGTGTATAAGCGATGCCAGTTCATCAAGGTGGACGTCAGCAGGCTCTGTGACGGTTATACGAAACCTCATGCAAGACTCTTGCCACACGTCCACATTGAGCGTCAGTGAAATTGACCAGTATCGGTCAAAATTGACAGAGATGCAGTGTCCGGAAAATCTCTGGCAGTTATCAGCCCACACCCAGTGGCTAAGTGACGATGGCTATAGAAAACTCATTTCGAAACTGAGTGACGTCCACTGGCCGAGCTTCCAACGAACTGACAAACTTTGGTTTATATGGGTATAGATTGAGAATCCTACTAAATCGCAACTATGTTCACTTACATATTTACACCATGACTAATAAATGCGTGAGGCGCCTAATTATCAGTATGTAATACTTGACTTAGTCGGCTCTATGGCTAAGTCGTTGCGAATGCTTCGTAATGCCGGGATGCCGGGTTCGATCCCAGCCGCAGGCCATGCGTTGGTTTTGACAGTGTTATCAAGAAAGCCGATTGTCCAGAAAGCAATGGCAAACTATTAGGACATAATTTGCCTAGAAAAATCACACAACAGCCAGGGGCTGTTTTGGGGTTGGTTCTGCAACGTCCTGTAAAGGATACGCAACTGACTTAATACTCGACTTGCCAGAACTGTAAGCCATTATTTGTATAAATTTGATCCAGTTGTTATATATACAAATAATATTTCCATATATGTATATTACTTTCAAGGATGCCCCATGCTTTTAGTCATAGTATAATATTGCTGATGAATTTTTCAGAGATAATTGTTTTTTCTCGTGTCCATTCATTTGTATGATAATTATTGCATTAATTATGTAATGTGTTTTAAATAAAAGCTTATTTTATAAACAGTTTTTAAAAAAGTATTTTTAATATATTTAAATTTGTTCTGAAATAAAGTGGGTATACAGGAGGCTTTGTTGCTTTGTTTAAAAAAAAATTACAAACTTATTACAACTGTTTAAACATCAGAACCCTTAAAACAGTGATTTTCAACCTTCCTAATGCCGCGATCCTTCAGTACAGTTCCCCTTGTTGTGGTGACTCCCAGCCATAAAGTTATTTTCGTGGCTACTTCATAACTTCAGAGAATATGTGTTTTGTGATGGTCATTGGCGACCCCTGTGAATAGGTCGTTTCACCCCCAAAAGGATTGGGAACTGCTGCTTTAAAATAATGAGTAATATAAGTTGCTTTATTTTGTGTGTTTATTTGAATAATCATTCTCTTGCATATACCAGCCTCTTTAAACATACATGTCTCACTTGTTTTGTTTCTCACTTCTAATTCAGGTTCTGTCAAGATGGGAGGAGTTTCAGAGTAAGATAAAGCCTTACATTGGTCAGGTATGTGAGATTAACATACTGTGTGCAGTCCTTGTAGATCATTGCTTTATTGCCTGTCTGTGGCAGGGTACACAGTTGACATCACCAACTGTGGGAATAACACTGTTTTTCTGTGTGGGCTTTTCTTCTTCTTCATCACAAATTTGCATTCTTTGTCTGAGTTTTCTCTTTAGCCTGTTTCGCATGAACCGCTGTGGTAAATTCTAACAATTGCCTTGATGTGGGATAATAAATTCTAACAATTGCCATATTGTAGGAGGATAAATTCTAACAGTTGTCTTGTTGCCGGTTAATAAATTCTAACAATTGCCTTGTTGTGGGAGGATAAATTGTAACAATTGCTTTTTTTGTTGAATAATCAATTATAACTATTACCTTCATGAGGGATAATACATTCGAACAGTTACCTTGGTATGAGATGCTAAATTCTAAAAATTGCATTGGTGTCAGATGATAAATTCTAATAATTGGAATTGTGTCAGATAATAAATTCAAATAATTGGATTGGTGTCAGATTATAAATTCTAACATTGCCACGTTGTGGAATAATACACTCTAACAATTACCTCAATGTGGGATAAATTCTTAACAGTTACCTTGGTGTAGGAGTATAAACTCTAAAAATTTCATTGGTGTCAGAGAATAAATTCTAATGATTGGATTGGTGTCAAATGAGAAATTCAAAAAATTAGAGTGGTGTCAAATAAATTCAAATAATTGAAGTGGTGTCAGTGGATTAATTCTAACAATTGGAGTGATGTCAGATGATACATTCTAACAATTGCCTTGGTTTAGCATAATACATTCTAACGGTTGCCTTGGTTTAGCATGATCAATTCTAACGGTTTCTTTGTTGTGGGATAATAAATTCTAATAATTGCTTTGTGAGATGATAAATTCTAACAGTCTTGTTGGTGCTAAATGATACATTTTAACACTTGTCTTAATGTCGAATGAAAAATTCTAACAGTAGTGTTAACGTTGGATAATAAATTTTTTTGAATGATACATTCTAATATCTGCTTTATTGTGGGATAAAACGTTTATAACAATTGCCTTGTTGTGGAA